TTGGAAAATTTAATAACTCGAACTTAAAGAATTGGCTTCAAATAGGTCTTCATAGCGGATATTGCAGCAGACGGGCTATAGCTTGGGACCTCGCCACAGTAACATTTATCGATGCTGGAGAAACCCCACTTCACTCGGCTATCTTGGCATCTTCGTACACCAGATCGAAGTCTGTTTAGCTATTTCGAAATTGCCCGGGGAAGATCACCACCCGGTGGGAATTTCTCAGGAGGAGGTAAATTTACAGGGTGAAGCTAGGCGGGAGCGGTTGAATTAAAAGGGGACCTTTTAATTCAACCGCTCCCGCCTAGCTTTTCGAGCAAGCCTCTAATTTAAGCTAGGCTGTCTGAGAAATCTGTTACGGCTCTTTAAGACGTGATGGTGGTGGAGTCTGGCTGTTGATCGGATGTCTGCTATCATGTTTCTGTATATTCCTGTCCACAATGCAAGCCCTTCTCGTCGAACAATTGGAGGGGCCCATCCTATAGCCTCTCCAAGGAAGTTCTATACTTTCGTGCTAGGTCTGGTGTACTCACCAAGTAACAAAGACCCAATTTTTAAGAGGCCAAACATCCGCAACCCTTTTCCAAACCAACGTAATCACTTAGATCAGGTGAGCCGCCTATTCTCTTGCCATTTTTTCACGAAAAAATCTTTAAAAGGGCGGGCCTCTATGATGTTCTAACCCAAATTAAAGTCAAATGTATAAAAAGGTACCTAAATATTTTTACTTTACGCCGATCTCTTATGATGTCCTTAATATCACTCCTTAAAGCATCAGGAGCGCTGCGTGAGTTTACAGTAATGAAAATTATTAGATTTTGGAGGAAATCATTAATGTCTTTATAAAAATATGTATAGGAAAATGCACGATGCATTCTTCACCTACATGCGCGATAAAAATAAACAATCGTGACGAAACAATGCAGTGCACGTCTTAATTAATGGTCTCATAATTTTATTCGAAATAATCATGTCTACGGCTGTGCAAGCACGTGTAACATTTACGCATGTGAGCGAAATGTTATAAATTGAACGTTGTACACGCAACGCTACATTAAACCAATTCACTAATACTAATAATGAGATGCAATCAATTGAATTATCGTTCTGTCACAGCTTACAAATTGACAGATTCATCCTTTTGTTAGCTGCCTACAAAATATTACATCAAGCTATACAGCGTGACTTTTTTAAGTGTATCAATTTTTTTTATTAAATCTAGACATAAATAATGTTATATAAAAATGATAAATATTTAAAAGCACTCGTTATTAATTAATTACATTCATTTGAACTTATCTCAAAAAGTGCGTGATTTATGGGGAACTCATTTATTTTACGCGCCATCATTCATAACTAACACGCACACAAGTTCGTGCACAGTAAAATTTAGGTATATAAGAATGACTACCATCGCCCACACTTTATGTTTTTCAGGGAACAGAATGGCATTTTTTTTTGGAAAAAAGAACTTCTTGTTTTTTTATTTCAATAAACGATTATACATACTATCAAGTCTGAACCTCCTGTGAAAATTTGGGCACTTCTCAAAAAATCTCCCTGTATATTACTATACCTATGAGAAGCAAATGATCATGTCTCACGAAGATTCTGATGCCATGATGCCACCGCCCCTGTGCTGTACATTGTGTCCAAGTTCCTATTACAATATGTTTTACAATACGTGCTGTATTAATAAAGACAAATGTGAGCCAAATTATTATTTTTAACTTTCAGTTTGCAAAAAAAGATTGAAAACAGTACTTTTGAATTACTACTTGAAAACTAGAGAGTCATCCCTCTAGTTCAAACGAGATCATCCTCCATCTCCATAGATGGAGGTTGATCTCGTTTATTACGGTTGGGTAAAAAATCCATGGGTACGTACACTACGTTCCCATGGATGACAATAATTGTGCAAGTAATTTAATTTCATATTTATTTAATAGAATTTGTTATGTAAACTATAGGAGTCTAAGGACGAACGAAAGAAAATCACGTATTTTTTCCGACATTCTTACATTGTCACAACAAATTTTAAACAAAACAGTAGTTACGTAAAATGATCCTAGTATGATAGTAGTAGAATGATAGTAGCTTGAACGAGTCAAATAACTGCATTTTACACGACTTTGTTTAACAACAGAATAGTTTTATTAAACTTATTTATACCTAATTACCTATACCTATCTAGGATTTTGTTATGGCCAGCAAAGAACGCACGAGGCACGTGTGAGGTGCGTTGACATGTTGTTTATGGCTAGACTCGATTTACACTCTAACTTTGTGATGACAGCGAAGGCAATTAATAGATACACGTCCACGTGACTGCTAATAATTTTCATAGATCTAGGCCCCCATAAACATTTTCCTTGAACATAACATCGCTCTTTATAATAGGGTAACTGAATTAAAGAATTAATTAACAACATATTAAATATGTACAGGATTTCTACTTTTACTTATACTCATTTATTACTTGCATCAGAACTATTATCATCATTATAAGTATTAATCAGTGAACGCAAATAAACATGGAAGCCTTATTGCCGCTCCAAAATGACAACACAAAACTATATCGTGACGGCGCGGGGCTTATAAACCGTACCGCGAGGGGATTTTGTGATACGGATATAGACTTAGTGCAACTAACAAATAAGTTCATTTTTGTTTGACGACGCGTGACAACTGTCATTGAGAGTTGAGGTGTTATTTATTAACAATCACTTGTATGAACGTGTGGCTTTCATGTTTTATAGCGTTCACTGGTATTCATCAGTTATTGTAACCTAACCGATATTGGTTTATCTTTAAATTGGCTTCTAAAGTAAGTATTCCACGTTGTCTAACTTTCCCTATGTTTTTACTGTGGCGCGCCGATCAAGCAGCGGCTTTTGCTGATGCACCAATGGGCAGGCTCCACAGCCCCATAGGAGACCGGTAAGAAGTGGAAGTGAAATTTAGTGGAGTGAAGTGGTAAAGTAAAGTACAGACTTTATATGTTGTACCACTCGACCCCACTGCGGAATGTGGATTGGCAAACTTCACATATCTTCCAATTTTTTTTATTACTTCGAAAATATGCATATTCTTACGATGTCCTCCTTCCGCTGACCACGTGATAAGTCACCACTTAAAATAATTGACAATTTTAAGTTTGTGTTGGCACCGGGATTTGAACTATGAGATGACATGTCGTAGTTAAACGCACGCATGAGCACATGCGCGGCCCTACCCACAGCGGAGGGCCCAAACCCGTGGGTTCTGGTTAGCCCACCGGTTCTGCGTCAGATGAAGCTTTAATAGTCTCGGGACTGAAAGCAAAAACATCAGTTAATACAAGATACAAGATACTATGGTTGCTCGGGTATATTGAATCAAAAGCGAGCGCACGGGCACTGTGCTATCATGGCTCATGTTGCGAGTGAGGCAGCTGGGGCAAAATTATATGGTATCGCATCTGCCCCTGAAAAGGAATTGTAGATGTTGAATTGTAGATGGGCGGCAGTAATCGCATTACATCAGGTGAACTGCATGTTCGTTCGCCAACTGTTAACATTAAAAAATTTTGGTCCTGAAAGTAATTGTCCCGATGCGAAACATCACAATCCCATTAACATGCAATAAAATATGAATACCGGTTCGAATCCTGACAGCGCCGACACTTTCGTAACTGGCATTTTCAACGATTCTTGTATCTTCAATGTGTTGTAGTAATCCATGAAAAATAAATACGAGATATAAATGTATGCATGAATGAGAGAGAATTCCGAATTCTACAAAGTTATAAATTACACAAAACAAATACACCCGGTGTAAATTCGCAACAACTGGTGTTGCACGAACTGCAGACTCATCCGAAAGTGCCACGACCCCGCAGAAGACTGCGTTAATTAGTACTCATACTTTATTTTCGTCTGGTGAGTGAAAAAGCGGCCTGTCCTTTTAAACGTTTGCTACTTCCTTAAGCCTCGGAAGTGTTGCCGATGTCCGTGAGTGACAATAGACATTTAACATCAGATGACAGTGACAGATGATATTTAACGGTAGTAGGGCTACGAATGGGCAGGCTCGTCCGGGTAAGTACCACGACCTCACAGAAGACCGGCGTAAAGTGGAAGTATAATACTTTCGTCTGGTGAGTGAGGTGGCCGGCCCAATTTTCGAAAAGTTGTCAACACATCTACAACTCTCGGGTGTAGCGGATGTCCGTGGGCGGCGGTATTCACTTAACATTAGGGGAACCGTCTGATCGCTTGGCAACTTTTCTCATTAAAAAAAAATTCGTTTACCATCTTCCCATATAAAATACAGAATTATTTCTGTATAAGCATTTGGATCATGTTCACACTATTGATTATATTCAGTCATTTGTAGGCAAGTTGTTTTTTAACTTTTGTTAAGATTTATTTTTCAAAGGAACACGGACCCAAGATTTTTAAGAGAAGCAATTTCTCCCTTGATGTGAAAGATCAATGATCTTGAAAACATTATATTATTTGTTATAAGCTTGATCATATCCGCTATTCGAAGAAGGCTGCTTACCATAGCTTAAATAGAAACACAAAATACCAAGGTTTCAGTTATAAAAATCCGTGAGCAAAAATATCTATTCTGCAAAGCATAGCATTAAGTAGTTTCTCGTAGGATACGTAATTCCAGTGTTACATAAAATGAAGGCTTTTTCATTTCAAATTGGTATATTTTTACAAAGCTAAACACATACACAGTTACTTAAGCGCATTACAAAAGAGTTATAGCAATGCATTTGGCACTAAAGTCAAGTTGCATTGCGACTCCGCGACGCCGCCGCACTAGCAAATTATTATTGAAGCAAAATCAACTTTTACTATATTCTTCAATATCTGCCCTGTCTGTAGTAAATAGGAAAAACCAACACAACGGAACAGTTCGCGTTTTTTTACGATTTTACGTAAGTTGGACGTTACGTAAATGACGTCTAAAGCAGTTTTGTTCGCGTGTCTATTTTATATTTAATCAGGGATGTTGACATTTAAATAATATAAGTACGGGTCATCAGTGTCGTACACTTCTGCTAATGTCTGTAGGACCAGTGTTTGAATGAAGTCTACCTGAAACAAAAAAGAACTTAAAGGGTCATCACGTCATGTATTAATTGATATTTCTTTATAAAAGACACAAGAAATTATACTTCCCAAACAAGAGCGTTAGTCCACCCTAATTTAATTTGTAACGAAACCGAGTTCGGATGGGGGAAAAAAGTTAAGACAAAATTATGTCAGACAACTTCTTGCGTATTTGGGAAATGATTCAATATTATATTAGGTTTCCCTTTCATCTAAATGGGGCCGCGTGGCGAACTATGCCCGCAGATAACCAAATTAAATAATCTTTGCTCAACTGTCAGACATAACATACAGTAACTCTTAGTTTATACCGCTTTTTCCCCTCGCATTTATACCTTTAGTGGATGATGAAACGTTTCTCGCAAAGTGTGCAACTCGAAAAGTTATGAAATCATTACAAATGAAGATGTACGTAATCATCTGAATCCCAAATCAGGAGGAATGCTAACTTGATCCGGCGGACAGTAACCATCGTCCGTAGACCTGGCGACTGTGACCAGCACGGGTGGAGGGAGACGTTTCAACAACTGCTTCAGGACCGTCGTGGCGTAGTGTCGGATCTCCTCTTCGGTGCTCCTGTGGTGCGGCAGGCCACCCTGGTCCCTGGTGCAGCCCGCAGCGAAAACCGCCCACCAGTTAGGCCGCTCGCCGAGCCGTTTCGCCTCCGCTGACACGACATCAGCTAGGTCCGACACCTAAAATCGACCGAAACTAAATACATCGCAAACTCCCCCTCGAAACTTCGAAACTTGTTAATAATGCGCCGACCGACCATCTTAAACAATTCGGTTTTTTCGCCGACGTAGTTCAGGAAACCGTTGTGCTCCTCCAAGTGCCCGAACAAGTTTTCGATCTCCCGCAGCTGGCGTTCACGTAACTCGACAACCCTCTCCAGCGTCCCGACGTCGTCGTCGGCCGGGAGTTGGAACTCGAATATCGGCTCCAAACGGTCGTACAGTCCGACGCTCTCGTACAGACCCAGAAATGGGTTTCCCGTGCTAAAGAAATCGAGGTCTATGTCCAGCACGTAGGGTTGGGATATTTGAAGGTTTTCGGCTAAGCCGCTTATGTGGTCTCCCTTAGAATTCGCCAGTTCGGCAACGGTGAAGGCCAACGGCCTGGCGTTTTTGAGCTTGGCGGAGTATAGGGCGTCGGAAAGATAGTACGGCTCCTTACTATCGACCCGAAGCAGGCCCGATAGGGGATGGTCGCCGACCTGCATGACACAAGTGCCGTCGGCGAATTGCTTCGCCCACGGCGGCCGCAGCCACACCACGCGTCCGATGTGGCCAGCAGCGGCCGCCGGCATTATCCAATTCTCTATCTGCAACAAAGGCAACAGCGCCCTCCCCGACCTCGCTTCCTTCCCGCTCATTTTACGGTCTATGAGCATATCTGGGTGTGCGTCGAGGTGCAGCAACGTGACCCCCTCGACGGGCAGCTTTTTTCCGCCGATAGCTGAATAAATAAATTGTAATGCGTCGTTATGCTCCTCCACTACGTAAACGGGCATTTTTTTGAAACGTTTCAAAGGTTCCATTTTTTCGCAATCGTCCATTCTTCTACTTTCCGTTAGATTGCCCGATATGGTTACGTTTACCGTTGCGCTATTCTTCGCCAAGCTCTCGACTTTAATATTAGGTCCTGAAAGGCAGAAAGCCTTTTAATTAAAACTATCGTACATCAATTTGTTTATAGACTTGTAAATATATAGGAATGCTATGAATAAATAACTGTTTAATTATTCTAGATAAGTAATATTTTAAATGAGGTCTTCATAAGTCTCTTAGGTGAAATTCCTTGAAATTAACAATTTAAAGGCTACTTTTTATTAGGGACTAATTGAAGATCATTATGTGGTCGTTAATGTTATTTAAAAAATATAGTAGAAAGAATCAAATTAAATAGTAGTAAAGATTTAGCGTTACCACTTACTAACATTTCTAAGCCTTAAAATAGAATAGCTGTCGCCGCGGCATCGCCCTATCATATATGGGATAAAATAGTATATTTTCATGGGAACACTATCTAATATTATAATCAAACTAATTCAGCCATTGCGTGGAGAAGAGAAAACAATACCATTTGCACAGAAACTTTATCACTTCTGATATTAATAATGCCTTTCAACCGCGTTCCAAGTTTATTCGTTCATTTCATTTTGCCGAATTATTCACCTGAAAAAAAAATGACATCAGTCGTGTAGTATAATGGCTGAAACGATCGAACAACATAAAAATATCCTAATATCTATGCAATAAACTTAACATACAAAATGTTACACAACATTACCGTCCGTATAAACAAAAATGAAAAAACCGCAAGGTCGGTTTAGGAAGAGTAGGAAGAATCTGCTATACTGCGCAATTTTAGATGACGTTTGCGCAGAGTACCGAGTAGGTGGCAGGACAAATACCGCGCGGACATTGATAGAGTAGAAAAACGACAATCTAGTTCAAACACAAACGCATTTGTATACGTACAAAATTAATCACGCCTAGTGCGACGCAAAAGGGACGTAGGGCGCGGTGAGCGGATTAAGTCAACGTCTACGAAATATTAAAGGAACGAATGGGGACAGGAGGACAATACGTACATATTATATTTAGAAGAAATTTTTTTCTATTTCTTTTAAATGAACTAGAAACGCATGCTTAAAAGAATGCTAATACGAAATTTTATTACAGCTGTATGCTGCTAGGGCGGAATATACGTGAAACGATATCTACAACGACATCAAACCAAACCCGATGTTTCCTATCACATTTAGCGATGGAATGTTTGTGGATGGCGCGATACGCGTAGGACGAGTGAGGGGAGTGACGGTAGAGCGGGTGGCGAGGGGGGAACGGTGTTGTGACGGCTGCCGTGGTCGATAATGCGCGTCACTGACGTCACTACGCTACTACTCCCGACCAAACACCCCCCGCGCGCACCTCACCCCAATGACCTATTGCGTCGTTACGCCCACCCTGGGTCAAGGCGCGAAATTCGCGATGTACCCGCCCACCCCTTCCACCACCCGAAGAATAATAGTCACTTCTGCTCAGACTAGTTTAATCTTAAAACAATAATTCAATATATTATTAATATCTACCATATAAAGTTACATAGATATTTTAAAATTTTTCCGTAACATACTGTAAAAAAACATCTAAATGTAATCTAAATAAATTAACTTGAAATTTTCTTAATATGGCTGATTTTGTAGTAAGTAAAAGTGTATATTCACAAATTATTATCATTATTATTGTAATGTGCAGATGTGTTTTGATTTCCAATAAAGATTATTATTATATTACACTAGCTGCTGCCCGCGACTACGTCTGCGGAGAGGGGTGAAATTTAGGGTTGTATGTATTTTTGTATGCTGTATCATTAAAAAAAAACATAAAAAATTTAAAAAAAAATTGGGGTGGAGCACCCTTAACATAAAGGGGGATGAAAAATAGATGTCCAATTCTCCACCCTGGCCGTATGCACACAAAATTTCACGAAAATCGGTTGAGCCGTTACGGAGGAGACACGAGAATTTTATATATTAGATATATTAATTCCAAGTTTCATTTTATTAGAATAATTTCATTTATTGAGTACTGTCACTTTAATATCCCTTAATACGTTATTTATTAGAATATTTAATTATCTTACTATACATCATGTCGTTACCATCGCGACAATAAATGAACACACGTCTAACGCTACTTGCAAATAATCATAAAAAATATTAATGTTAAACAAAATCCTTAATTAAAATAAAATATTTTTCAAACATACTAATTAAGTAAAAAAGAAACAAAATTTGTAACATCCTATACAACTCGCGCCACAGCGTCGCATTACAAGCCTCTCCTTCTAACAGTATGTTTTGTCTCTTTTAAATTTATTCAACCCATTCATATATTTGTGACCTTTACAAATGAACTTTATGTTACAGTTTCATATGTAAGGGTGTTCTAAAATTCTTTGTTTTGGAAAATATAATAACTCGGTGAATATTGATGTATAAAGAATTTAAATGTATAATACAGTTTTAAAAAGTTATCCTCTATATGTGTGTTCATTTATTGTCGCGATTGTAAACACACTCTGTATATACATAATTGACTTTATGATTAGTCATCTATGGATTATGGATATCAAATATACACAGTAATACTAATAAAAAACTTATTTGAAAATAAAAGAAATTAATACTATTATTTCATAGTTTTGAGCAAACATTTTGACTGAACATGTCATCTAATATCTATATCTATAATTATAATATTAAATGAAATATGTCCACAGAATGTATTGAGCCAAAAATAATATTATAAATGTTTATCTAAATTTGTAACTGTATTAAAAATGGACATAGGGTTCTTTTTATTAAAAAAAAAGACATTTAAGGGCTTCAATGCGAGCAAAGCCACGGGTAAAAGCTAGTTTTTAAGTGTTACGGTTTTGTGTTTTGACCAGGGTCTGGGATGTAACTGGGGCCCACTTAATTCTAGGTGATCACTTATTAATAGGTGACCCGATACCTCACTTGCCACTTACTCACATAAAAAAAAAACATCTAAACTCATGTCTCCAAAAAATATGGTTCTTTTTATTTGAAAACCAAATAATAATGGTTTATTGGTAAAATTTAAATACATAAGTATTTTTTATTTATAGAAATGAAAGTTTTATTTTCTTAAATAAGATGGTGTTGTTTTTGTCATCTTAAGAAACATACAATTCTTTAAACTATGTAAATTGCTGACTGTATATGAAAGCATAGAAAAAAATATATGTGGCAACTGGTAATTACTCTTTATTTTGTAATAATTAATACCTTTTAACACAATGAAACAAAATAATAGTATACATATACTTCTTTGTATCTTTGTATTCTTGTATTTAACATTTTTCTACGGGTATTTTTTTATATTATTACTATAAATGAATCATATCATACTTACAATTTTTACTGAATAATACTAAAACTTTAATTTAGTTCAACTGACGAATGCATTTGAGTTGACATTTAAAAAAAACTGGAATTAGCGTTCTAATTATTATTCTACTATATGAATCTATAAATAACCTAAAATGTTGTCAGATTTTACCTATATTGAATAAATTAGCAACAGCCTTGCGAATGCATGTTTATGGTTATCATTGCAAAAAATCAAGAAAGTTCTACTTCTTCTTCTTTTTCCTTAATGGCATCAAGCGAGATTCAAGACTTCAAGACAAGAAAAGAATTTAGAAAATCGAATTGACATTGACAATGACACTTAACAGCGCAGTGTTGCACACCATCAAGTTTTACAGAGTTTTGCCGTGTTCGATATTCCAGATAGTCGTAGTCTAAATAAAAATCATGAAATTGCCGTATTGCATACTTTGATTAGTTAAAAAAGGTAGTAATAAAAAAAACTACTAATATCATCATCATAGTGATTTCTAATTAACTTAATTTCTTCGCTGCCATGTTAAACAATATTTGTCCTAATTTTGCATTTAGCACATGATGTGTGACAATGTACTTCTTCTGGTGAGTAGCTTTTCAACATTGAAAGAACTACAAATCATACTTTTTTATTTCCTTGCACCTAGTTGATAATTATTTATGACATTTAGATTTGTATTTTGCGTGGCTTTCTAATCTCTGCCAGTGATTTCCAGGGATTCCAAGCTATAATGTAATAGCGACGAGCCTCTTAGAGAAATGTTATTCGAACTTTTTTTAATAGTGAGTACTTAACTTATAACATCAATATGGATCGCCATATATTATTTTACGATAATATATGCAGTATGGTCTGATATGTGTTCGAATTACCTTATATTACGGCTATTTCCGTATCAATGGCAACGCAGTGACAGCGACACAAGTTAAAACTATGGATTCATTCGGTGGTTTTGCCATAGGAATATTTCTATCCTCTATTGTTTAGGCTCCCCAAAGATGAAACAATAATTGTGGGATGACTCCGATTTTATTGTTTCAATTTATTAAAATTGATACAATAAGTATTATTCAGATCACCACAATTGGGGGAATGAATGAAATTTGTTTCCCTAGAATCTCCCTAGAAATAAACTGACAACAATGGTAAATGAGATTAACCTACGAAATAAGTATCATCATCATCATTCCAGCCTGTTTGAGTCCACTGCTGAACATAGGCCTCCTCCATAGACTGCCACGAAGTACGATCCTGAGCCACTTACATCCATCGACTTCCCGCACATTTGCATAAGTATAATCTTATTAATTAAAAAAATTAAAACTTTATGTTTTCTATAATTTATAGTGGCATAAATAACAAAACTTACCGATGAAGTGATCAAAGTACCGATGAAAGTTTAACTGTGGTAGGACCAAAGAGAATATATGCACTACTTATAGGGTAGGACGATTAAAAATATCGTTGTAGTAATCGTTGATACCATGATTAGTATTTAATTGAAACGGATCTTATTTGGATGGTTTTAAGATTCAAAATTACTTAACTTATTCATAATATCTGTTTAAAAATCTGATATTGTGCCTTGCTTGCCGTACTGCTCTAACTAGTGTAATATTTGTATCTCACGCGCTTTGTCGCTCAAAATCTGTTTAAAAATCTGATATCGTGCATTGCTTGCCGTCCCGCTCTAACTAGTGAGTATTTATATCTCACGCGCTTTGTCGCTCGATATCTGATATCGTGCATTGCTTGCCGTCCCGCTCTAACTAGCGATATTCGGATATTGTACTAATATCTAGTTTTCATTTCTGATATGATTTGTATCGCCCACTTCTAAAGTTTACACAATGAATGTTTACACTTTTGGTATCAAATTAAAGCTTATATTGTCTAGTTTAGTAAAGAATAAATATCAAATGAGATTTGATACAATTTTATTTGTAAAAACTTGTTTAAAAAAATATTTACGTGAAATTTAACCAATATTCTCAACTTTAATATTTAATTCTTTTGTTTTGGATTAATATTTGTACTTTAATTTACACTAATTTTGATTCCTTATAGTTTCAGCTTTATGTACGTATTTTTTATTTCGCTTAAGCTGCCGTTATTTGCTAGAAAATATACTTTTAATCAGCCATGACGTAGGCGCTTGACGCAATTAATCACCGATCAGGTGACAAATCGGTGACCTCTATTTAGCTCTCAATAAGGGTTACCTTTCAGTGGCCACGTAACAGTGTTCACTAGGGATGCCGAAAGTTAAAAAAATATCAATATATCGATATTTATAAAAATATCAATATCGGCCACGATATATCGAAAAAAAAATATCGATATATCGATCAAATTTTCGGTTTTAAAAAAATAATGTATTTAGTTCAGACTGATTCAATAAAAAGTAATAGTAATTTTTATACCAAATTCACATTATTTTTATTGTATGAGAAATTTTAATAAAACGTTACTTATTTATTAATTTTAATCAAATTTATCTTTTATTGATCTAAATTTCTAAGCATATTATATATCAAGACCTTCATTGGAAAAAAAAACAAACAGCTTATTTAGAAAGATATAATTATCAGTTTCTATAGCTCTATATCGAATCAAAAAATAACTAATTAAAAAACATGTAACTCTAAAAAAACCTTAAGAAGTGTTTAAAACGAAGTTAATAATGGGTCAAAAAGAAATCCGTAGAAACTTGTCCTAATAGACAGGCCTAGATCAGCAGAATTTAGTAATAGTTCTTTGACTGACATGAAAATGCTGAACACCAATTTAAAGAAGTTACTTACGTGGTTAAATGATAATTTTTATGACGTCAAATAATTTTTTTCTATGAAAACTGGATATTATAGTGACATTTAATTATTGAGAATTTGATTAAAATTTAAATTTTGTTCACTTTATTTATATATAAAATTTAAGTAACTATAGTTGATGCCATTAATATTTTGCATGCTATTTATAAATTAGCATATGTTGTTCAATATTAATGATTTGTAACACCTCCATACCATGTTGTACCATAGATATGGATAGTATAAAGTACGAAGCATGAAATTGTAGTTTAGATACCATTATTATAGTACAAAATGCAACTGTGCATCCGCGAAAATACTGGTTATAGACCACTTAATTATATTTTTTCCGTTCATTTTTATCTTTTATGGCTTTGAATCACTTTTAATAAAAATATCGTTTTTGATACGATTTCGATATATCAATAATTTTTCGGCATCCCTAGTGTTCACTTTTGCACGGTCCATGGGCGGTGGCTATCACTTAACATCGAGTGAACCGCCATTATTTCACATAAAGAAAATCTTGGTTCTTTCGTTAAACTCGAAGCCGAACTTGAAAACAAAGACTTGTCTTCAGCCAGCACTCTTTTCAACGTTCTTTGCCAATCCCATGTGAAGGACCAATAGTTTTTGCTTACGTATGGGTTTTCTTTAGATTCGCGCCTTCACAGCTTTTATCACTGCTGGAGTCCAGTACGAGGGCCACCACTATTTTTTGTACTACACTAGAATTTTTATCTTTTTAAAACTATTAAATAAAAAAATTAAAGAAACAAACGTGCGTTCTGTGGTTTAACAATTTCTTTATGAATTCAACAGAGTATACTGATGGTATATATTTCTAAAAGTTTGATAGGTACCTTTGAATCGCTTTTTATGCACATATCTAAAGATTAAATGAGCTTTTGATTTCCTAGAAAATTTTACAAATACAAGGCAGCTTTGGGTGTTCCAAACACAAAACAATATGGATATTGGAAAGTTAATAATACGAAGCTTTCGATGGATTTTATGATGTTTGTTTATGTGACGACTTTATTCCAACCATATAGTAATATACAAAATTCATCATATCGCTTTTAAGTAGTCTGTGTGCACGTAAAAAGTAAAATTTTACTCTATTTATTTCCAAACGCGCCAAAATAAGTATTACTATATAACTTATTTTACTATTGTTTTAACTTCTTTGGCCAAAATAATTTTCGCAGATAATTTATCGATATATCTTGAAATAAATAAAACACAATTGTAAACCTAAATATATCTTTATTTTATATGTAATTTACACATGGAATACAAAAAAAACGGGTCCAAAAAAACGGTTTCATGATTACTCATTAACCAAAATTGTATTTGACAAAGAATCAGATTCAATTCCTCTCTGTGATAAACCATGTGAAATACATTATTATCTGAAATATAAACTAATGATATTTAATTAATGTTATGAAGTAGTATTACAATTACATTAAAATATTTTAGGGAAACGCATTTAGGTGTTAGTGCTGCTTCAAATACATCTCACATTACTTAATATACTCCATGTTTGAGACTTGCACCTGCTTTGTATTAAATTATAATTCACTTGATGAAAACTGATAACTTATTCTATCTAAAATGACACACGACAATGATGTCAAAAACTCTTAACCTAAATAAAATGATTCTTCTAGTCCAAAACATCTAAGAGTGATTCTTTAGTAGATTTAATCTACTTATCCTATTATAAATTGAATGCCTTTAATTATTCACACAAAGTTATCTTCTTTTAGTGCAAAGCAAATGGGTGGGGGATATCTTAATTAAATAAAATAAAATATTTTATAAAATACTTACCAACTCTAGTGAACTAACGATTTTGTACTTTGTTCACTAATTTAAAGTGTCGAAGGAAGAGCATCGCGGCAGTTAGTGGGGCTTTAACATTTAGAGCTTTTATTTAGGTATTGCCATTAATAGTCACTCAAAAAACGCAACCGAAATGTGATGTGAAATTTGTTGGTATCCATTTGTCTAGTCGTACAAACAACAAATAAAAAAAATCTTGTGTCTTAGTCCATACTGGTTCTGTGAAGTTACGTCGAGGCACCGTTTCCTTTAGACGCGCGCCGTCGGATGAAAGCCGCAGCGCTACACCCGTCGAACGTTACATTATGCGACAGTTCTCATCGCCTTCACGTATTTCTCCGAGCTGCGAAAGGAACGCGCACAATTTTAGTTAGAGAGTATTTATTCTTTAACAATCATTAAACAAGTATATCCACCCTCTTTTCAGTCATTATATTTAGGGTTCCATACCCAAAGGGTAAAACGAGACCCTATTACTAAGACTCTGCTGTCTGTCTGTTCTTCCGTTTGTGACCACGCTGTATCTCATGAACCGTGATAGTTAGACAGTTGAAATTTTCACAGATGATGTATTTCTGTTGCAACTATACAACAAATACTAAAATATAGAATAGAAAAATATATAAGTATACAACAGAGATGATTTTTTTGCCGTTTTTATAGATAATGTTATGGAACTCTTGATGCGCGAGTCCGACTCGCACGTTACTTGCCGCATCGTTTTTGGCAGGTTTAATAGAAAGCCAATGGTAGTTAATAAAACTTCAAAAGAAGTTTGAAAATTTTTAAATTTAATAATGTTGGATTTTGATAAATGCGAGTTACCTGTTCGCGACGCGGATACTTGTGAGCGAGCTCACGGTGCCGCTGCGCACTTGTGCTCACCTGCCGCCGTTGCCGCTCCGACACCGCTACCTCCTGTAAAACGTGTCTCACTTTAGATTTCAATAGACCCTTAACTAATTTCTTTATCACCTGCAATTTTGTCCGTCGTAAATTTACTGTGAAAATTTCCTTGTGTAAATAATTTACATAATACTATATTCTGAGTCATGATAGCAGTGTCCTGGCGCCCTTAGTTCGATTCCCAGAGCAGGCACCAATGAAATTGTTAATTTTAACATCTGACTTATCACATGCTCAGAGGTGAGGGCAAAAATCGTGAGGAAACGTGCATATTTTCGAAATAGATAAAAAAATATTTCGAAGATATGTGAAGTCTGCTAAACCGCAGAGGGGTCGCAATGTGAACTGGTCCTAAAAGCCTCTGTACAGAGGAGGCTTTTGCCCAGCTATGGCATATGTATAGGCCTAAGTAACAACTTTAATTTACTTTTCACTATATTTCGTATGTTTCGATAAATACAACGAAGCGCCAAAATTTCGCATTCCTCATCTGTGATGAGGTGGTTTCAATGATGAATTCAAGGCGCTCAAATAGAACGCACGCGCAGGATGTGCCGTAAATGATATACCGATACCAACCTCCTGGTCATTGTTGAAGAGTGTAGTGGTGAAGGTGTCCGCCACGAACCACTTCTGGCCCTTCATGACGATGTCGCGCGGCGGGTCGTGGTCGGCGCCAACGTCCGCTGACCACACCGTCACCACGCCGCCTGGCTCCGCCTTCACCGTGCGGTGGAACTTAAACACGGTCTCCTGGTCGCCCGCCTTGCGGATTAACTGATACCCGCCCAAACTCAGCTCCTGGAACAATCGACATTCATCGTTTGCTTTAATAAATAAGGAGAACATGCGTCACATCAATTTTGCAAGCATTCTAGTTGCAGAGAGTCAAATCGAAGACTCCGTGGCGCAGTCATCAAGGTATTGGCTTCGGCGTCAGGGGTCGTGAGTTCGATTCCAACACGGGACAACTATTTGTGTGACCCACAGATAGTTGTTTCGCATCTCAGTGTTTGTCCAAGTGTAATTTATGTATGTAAAACATCCTTGCAACACAGGATAATGTTATCCTAAAGTGAGAGCAAAGTTTTTTAAAAAAGAATCAAATTCAAAATCAAATCTAGAAGTCTAGTTATAGATTCTTTAGTTAAACGTATGTAAATTACGGTTATTAACGAGTCGGTTTTAAGTAGCGACTCGTGTAAACACACTGATACGTTATCCCGGGGTGTTTACTACAATTAGCAATCCAAGTAGCGAGAGCACACCTTCTTCCCCTTGTTGCGTATCTTGACGAAGCCGCCGTCGGGGCAGGCCTCGGCGATCTCGAGGTCGCCCTTGGCGCTGGAGGTGACGCTGAAGTCCTGCAGGCTGCGCTCCTCGCTCTCGTCGAGCAGCGTGCGCTTCCTGGCGCGCAGCGGCGTGGCGCGGCGGCCGGGCGTGGCGCGCCCGCTGCCGCTCGTGGCGCTCGCCGACGCTCGTGACTCGCGCCCGGGCGACTGCGCCGTCAGGTTCAGCCTGCGAATGGTCAAAGCGATAAGCGTCGACTGAAAATTTATATTGAAAAAAATACCTAAGTTAAATTATAACGAGCTTCTGCCAGTATGTCCAGACTGTGATATTGATAGTTCAGTTTTCAAGAATTCTGTAATTTATGAACTCATTAAAATATGTGTCCGATGTTAATTTCATTGGTATTGGACACTATTAGAACTAATGAGAATTAAATAGAAAATGTATAGTGAGCGAGATATTTGAAGACCGTTTTGTGTTTTGCTAATTTTATTATTTTCTTATTTGTTTATTCCACTTAACCACTCTTTTATTATAACTCGACCTGGTCTATTTTCCCGTCGAACTAGAGTCTAGACATTTAAAACTTAACACACCTCACAAATGGAGAACTATATATTATGTCAACGACACTCCCATAACATCGACGAAGAAGCTTAAGGAATAATAAACGGCAGGCGTAGCGTACCTATCCTCCTCGCCCTCGATGAGCGCGCGGTAAGTGGCGATCTCGTGGTCCAGGGAGATCTTGATGTCCATCAGCGTGGCGTACTCGCGCAGCTGGGCGGCCATCTCGTCTCGGAGCCGCGCAAGCTCCTGCTCCAGCGAGGCGAGGTCCTCCGCGTGGCGGGCGCGCTCCGACTCCAGCTGCCTTTCCAGCTCACGGCAGCGGTTCTATGGGATCGATGAAGACCATTAGAATCATCGGATTTTCAGTGAAAAATGCAAAGTGCTCGCCATCATCATGCCACACAGACATTAGGAAATGGAGATTGGAACATGTTAGGTAGATTTCCTATTGGGTTCGTTAAAAAATTACTTTTGTAACGACTTAAAAAGAAGGGGATATTCGAAATTGCGATTTCGGACATTTTTTCCCAATACACATTATTAACAATATTTATTAGTGATGTTTATGCTAAGCGACATTTCTTTACGTTGTCTGTTAAATTTTTATTTTTTAAACGGTTTTCAGTTACATCAATGTTCTCTGTAGCATTTTGTTTGGTTGGATATCATTATTAATTATACTTGATACAAAATGATGCAAGTGGAACCGTGGATGACAGAGTTATTTAAAGTTGGTGCGTTTTTTATTGACCCTATGTAACTTACTAGCGACCAGCACCGGCATCTTACGGGTGCAATGCTGAATGTTTGTTTTCGACATCGCATTAGAAACCTCTAAAATTATCAGTGTTTCTCTACTATATTATGCATGAATTATACATACAAACCTTCCTTTTGAATCACTCTATCTATTAAAGAAAATCGCTTCAAAATCCGTTGCGTAGTTTTAAAGATCTAAGCATATATAGGGACAGACGGACAACGGGACGAACTTGTTTTATACTATGTAGTGATGAAGTTTAACCGATTGAAGTATTGTAATATTTGTTTGGTATGAGCACTGCGACGCCAAGCTAATACACACGTAGCCGCTATTACAACATTACCAGAAAGAGATGAACAAGGTGTGGCAGACTACCTCGTATATAATTATGTTTACACAACTGTTTAAAGTCACGTCAACAATGACAACAACGTTTAGGAATTTGGACATATGTCAGCAGTTCACGGTTTGATTTTCCATAATTCAATAAACATCAAAAAAAGTACATATATCACTTTTTAAGCTTAAGAATAGGTATTACGTGATATACTAGTGCAATCAGAATTTATATTTCCCAAAGTTTTCTGTGGTAGGTTCACACAACGGCCTATGCTGTTACACCAAATTATAGATATAGCTGTCTGTATAAATATATCTGTCCGGAGAAGTACCACGATCTTACAGAAGACCGGCATGAAGTGGAAGTGTTATACATCTAAACGAAAAGCGTTTAGTGAGTGAGGTAATGGGGCCCTCTTTATTAAAAGGTCAAATGTCAATGTCAAAGGGCGACGGTTATTACTTCACACTGTCACCTTTTCACATAAAAAAGGTAAGACATACACCATCAATTGTTTCAAATTGGAAAGACTGGATATTACTCGATGAACATCACTGAGATGTCATATCCCCAGCTACAGGCCACTAATGGCAATTACACACGGTAAAATCGAAGGGCATAATGCAACTCACGCTCAGCGCTGCGTTCTTGTTCTCCAGTTCGTTGAGGGTGGAGTTGAGGCTGTCGATGCGCGTGCGCATCGTGCGCAGCTCCTCCACCGCCACGGTGGCGGCGTTGCTGTTGCGGTTGGCGGCCGCTTGCAGGTTCTTCATCTTCTCGTTTTACCAAATGAAATTAGAGTCATTGTTAAATAAAGTAACAGCATATTAGCAAATAGACAAATGAGGCGCCACCATGCGGAAATTGTGGCCTTTGGTAAAGAATGAATACAAAATCGGCAATATCCCATGGAAAATAGTCTCCAAATATATAAATTTGAAAGTTGGCACTATCCAGGACAGTCCATCACAACACGGAATGAGGCCGCCGTTGTTGATTTTATTATTGTTTTAAGTGTAATATTGTCGGTCATTGTTCGAATATTAGCCGTGTAATCGTAATAAGTACGGGCGCAGCCCTACGGAACGAGGGCCGTTTAAAACTCGTACTTTCTGGCTACTCCAAGAGTTTAGCGATGGATGAAGCTTTAATAATCTAGGATTTCGGCAATTACATCACTTACCAATAGACAACAGAAAAGACAGTTCATTATAAAATATTTTTCCTGTAATGTGAATCGAAAATTCATCCGCAGGATGTAAGTTCGATCCTTTATCCACTAAGTAAGTAATAACCATATAAAATTGAGAATAACAATTTATGTGATTGACTTAATTATAACACAGTAGTAAAGTAAAGTATCAGCCTATATATGTCCCACTGCTGGGCAAAGGCCTCCTCTGTACAGAGGGTATCAGGGCATAGTCCACCACGCGGTCTCACTGCGGATTGGCGGACTTCACATATCTTCAAAATATTTTTTTTTATTATTTTGAAAATATGCAGTTTTCCTCACTATGTTTTCCTTCACCGCTGAGCACGTGATAATTCAGCACTTGAAATTAACAATTTCATTGGTGCCGGCACCGGGGGATCGAACTCAGGTTGCTAGAGTATATTCAATTAAAGGCGAGCACCCGGACATTGAGCTATCACGGCTCTTATATTATATTCATATATATATATATATATATATATATATATATACATATATATATATACATATATATATATATATATATTATTCATACATATATATACGTTATATGTATATCATTTATCATATCATTCTATAACACAGTACTGAGTTATAATAGCTGCATTAAATACAGAAATGAAGCTCTTTTTAGGTAGTGTAATTAAAACAAAAATTAAAGAAAATGTAGAGTTAAAGAGAATATAGGTATATAAAAAAATATCAAGTTTGTTAATTTTGTAAACATTAATGCAGTGTATGATATTATGGCTACCTTGTTTTCATAGAGAGCTTCGATTTCGTCACGGTTTGCTTTGATATTAGCCTCCTGTTGTTCGCGCAGTTCCTGCAAGCTTTGTTGCAACTTGGCCTCATACTGTTGAGCCAGACGGCCGTCTGAAAATAAGACATAGTTTAATCAAACTGTATATAACAAGATTTCGAGAAGAAGAATTTCGAAAGAAAGAAATTCGAAGAGAGAATTTCGGTATTTGATCCTTAGTGATAAAGATAGCTATGGATACATAGTCTTCTATGGATTGTTTATATTATAGCTATTTAATTACATTTTTTCAATTTATTTCAAGAACTCACCAATCTCCGAGATTTCAACTTGCCGACGGGTGCGGGTTTCCTGCAACTCCTGCTGGAACACCTGATCCTTGAAGGACAACTCTTCGCGTAGACTTTGGACGGTGTTCTCCATGTCGATCCGGCAGAGCATTTCCTCTTCGAGCGTCTTGCGCGTATCGGCGTATACCTTACGCAGTTTCTCCAGCTCTTTGGCCAAATCCTGAGAAGCAGGGTTGAAAACAAATTGTTAATGATAATTTTGCAATTCTTGTCCAAATATTTTGGACAATATGTTCCTCCCATATGTCAGTCATTTTCTTAGTGTGATAAATCTAATATATAAAATTCTCGTGTCACAGTTTTCGTTGCCATACTCCTCCGAAACGGCTTGACCGATTTTGATGAAATTTTTTGTGCTTATCCGGTATCTATGAGAATCGGCCAACATCTATTTTTCATCCCCCTAAATGTTAGGGGTAGTCCACCCCTAATTTTTTTTTTTTAGACAAAATTTTTAATTTCTATTTTTTTATGATAGAACATACAAAAATACATACAATCCTCAATTTTCACCCCTCTACGCAGACGTAGTCGTGGGCAGCAGCTAGTAGTGGTTAAAATTATCGTAAGACGGCAATTTAATGCCCTAGGTACCGTTCGTTTCATGCATTATAAAAAGATGATTTCATGATCAGATGAATAAATGTTTTAATGTAGCATGTAAGTTATCTTTAGCTTTTAGTAGTCTTTAGCATAGTTATGAAGAACAATACACATATTTCTTATACATAAAAGTTTCGTGTTTAGTATAAAAAATTTTGTATCAAATATTCATGAGTTATCTTTTTATAATGCAAAATCTTTACATTGAATAAGAAGCTTCTTCCATGCAAATTCGTTAATTTACATTCATTTAAGACGAGTGAAAACCGAAATTTTGATAAGTTTTTTGATTGATGTTCATTTGAAAAAAGGGATCCCAATTGTGTACCAACCCGGGCTTCATCTTGAGCCTTCTTCTTATCGGCGAGAGCAGTATTGTATTTGTTGCTCTCTTCTGTGTAGCGTGTTTCATAATGCCGAGCCAAATTCTCCGCCTGCTGGCAGTCCTTGGTCTTTTTATCCAATCTGTAATATTGATATCATCGTTATAAATACACAAAAACAAGTTAAGGTTACGAACGGCTTAACCCGACGACTAACGGTAGAAGAAATATGCAAAGCATTTTCGACCTTATTGCTTATGTGATAGAACACGTGAAATTGTTAGAAATCTTTCGAGTTCGTCTTAGCTAATATTGGTGTTCGTCAGTGTGGTAGTGTGGCGTCCGTTGCGCAACCACACACGGAACGGAATGTTATTGTAAACACGTAGACAATTCGGTCCCCGCGTCGCTTAGCATCAAGGTTTTGTAGCGTTAGTTGGCGCGCAAAATTTAGATTGATTCTTTTTATATTCAATTTGGAATTTTTGATACAGCTTTTCGGACTTGACAACTAAAAATTCAAGCGTATTCGTATACAATATTTTAAAAAGCATATTATAATGAAATACTAAAAATAAATGCAAATGTGAATGTCGGGCAGTTGGCGTTACGTCGAGCGATTTTATATTTTTGGTAAAGAAACTATTTCACTCAGTTTATCCGAAAACCTAAACCCTAACGAATACTGAGTTTCTCTCTGAAAAGTTTCTACTTTTAAAAAAGAAAATTTTTAATATTAACTTTCATTTCAATTTTCAGCAGCCAGGAATTTGGAATAAATAAAAGTAAAATTTGCTTCACCAGTAGACAGAGAAATTAGGCACGAGTGAAAGCAATCCGCCGTAAAAACCTTGGCCGATTTAAAAGAAGTGCAGACATAAAGTCTATAATTAAGTAGTAGCGTCACATATAAAACGCTCCACACTAATATTAACCATTAACCATAAAAATAAAAGAGAAGGTTTTTACAACAGAATATTAAATATACGATAGAAAAGACAAGAGACAAATTGGCTACACGATAACGATACTTCTTAGGGTTCCGTACCCAAAGGGTAAAACCGGGACCCTATTACTACGACTTCGCTGTCTTTCTGTCTGTCCATCTGTCACCAGGCTGTATCTCATGAACCGTAATAGTTAGACTGAAATTTTCTGAAATTGAAATTTTCGCAGATGGTGTATTTCTGTTGCCGCTATAATAAAAAATATTAAAAAACAGAAAAAAATAATATTTAAGTAGGGCTCCCATACAACAGAGTAGATTTTTTTGCCGTTTTTATAGATAGTGGTTCCGTACCTTTCATGCGCGTTTCCGACTCGCACTTAGCCGGCTTTTTTCTTAATACGACTAACCCTTTAGCAGCGATGCGTGCCCTTACTTTGAAAACATAATTTATTAAAATTACGCCTAATTAACATATTTTGTGTAGTATATATACAAATCGAACAATCAATATTATTTATATTATAACACTTAATATTCTAAACAATAAAATATACTAACGTTCAATTAGTCGCAAAATGAAATCATTATCAATCAATCAATATCCAAATGGATATTAGAATTAGAAAACAACATGTGCAACTTCCATTATTCGTAAGTGACGTGGATTATAATGCGGGCGGAAGCAACGTGGGGTGAAACGTTATCTTTTATTTATGTTTTGATAAGATATTCTGAAAGCCGGAAATTACTCCTAAAGACATTTTAAAACTAAATTTGACACTAAATACACACCATTGTAAGGGAATTCAAAACAAAGATTACATAATCTTGCTTTTATACCATTTTCATTTTTCTTTATTTAGATTACTCATTTTTTCCATAATGTTTTGCCCTTATAAATTATCACCTAGAAATTTATTATAATAGTATTTTTTTTTATTTTCACACCACATAAAAATAATTGGTCTTAAACAATCTATACATAGTATGATAAAAAAGTAACTGATGGTTGTCTGTACATGGAAGATATTTGAGAAAAACAATTATTGGGGGGCCTTTATCAACACAGTAGGACCTAAAACAATGATTGTTAAAATTTTTGTTTGTCTGTGGGTTTATGCGCGCTAATCTCAGAAACAGCTTAACCGATTTTGGTGCCACTTTCTCTAATGCATTGTAATAAGCTTCACTTAACATTTAGTGTTAGTTTTATTTAAATCAGTTAATAAATAAAAAAGTTATATCAGCTTAAAGAACCACATTGCAGATTTGTGTGATAAAATATTAATATTGCTATAGATAGTGCTACATAATACCACCAGTTGAATTGGATGAAACTATAGTTAACTAAATATTATGGTCCGTATAATGATGGTTATTGTAAGTTCATATAAAATAAAAAAATTGGGCAAGTGCAAGTCGGACTCACCACAAAGGGTTCCTTAGGTACTTTTTAAGCACAATAAAAATTGTAGTACATGTGGACAAAGAGCTAGTGTGTAATGAGGTGAGCCAAATGACTTTAGGTTTACATATCATATTTTAAGATGGCTTGGATTTTTAAGTGTGTTATCACTTAAGCATGATTATGATATGATTATATGAAATGTACTTGCTATACTATTACATATACATGTAGATTAATAATATGAATAATTATGTGTTTATTTAAATTACACTTTGCATACTTAAAATATAGGTACATATTAACCCATTGTGAGGATACTTTTTTTCATTAAAGTTTGGTATTTGACTTTTAATACAGGGAAATATAAAAGATATATTCTTATATGCACACAAATTTGTATAAAGAACCAAGTACCAGTTTTATTTACGATGTAACTAGGTCACAACTTCACCTTAACACCATTTTTTTGTTTACTATCAGTATAAATTTATTCTAAATAATGAAATAACATTCTTTTTCTTTTTATGTATATTTTGTATTTTCCTCTGGTACAGAGGATAATTTTTTTATCACAAAATAATTACTTATACGTTATTTAAAAGTAACACTTAAATGTTATGAATTATATTTTTTACAAAAACAATGTTTACTGAAAATTTACATTTACAAAAGTTTACTGAAAATTTAAAAAACTAGACCTAAAAACTATAAAATTTCTTTATCTGGGTAAATTTTGGAGATCCTCATTCAAATTTGAGCACATGTGCAATGCAAGATTTCATTTTAAACATACAATTATAATATATCATTGAGGAAGAATATAAGAATAAATATTAAAACCTTTATTAATTTTAGTTTAAATCTGAGCTCATTAATATAAAATATTATATTATCTTTTCCTTTAAATAAAATTGTTTATACATATGATATGCATAAACAATTTTATATTTTTTCAATAATATTATTTCAGATTACAATGAAAATATAAAATATAAAATACACATGTAAATATAGTTTTTTTTGTCCTTGTGTACATAATTATATGTACACAAAATAAAGTTTTGATCCAAGAAATAAGTTTTATGACATTGGCGTGTTAAATCGAGCTATGATGTCACTAAGGCGAGGTCGTGCGCCCTCGTCACCGCTCCCGCGCTGTAAACGCCGCCGATGACGTAAACGTATAACTTTATGTTAAGGTTAGCCGGAAGAAATACCTTTTAAGAGCCTATGAACTTTGTAGGTATAAAAATTGATGGTAATAAATGTCAGAAATAGTATCTAGTTCTCAACTTTACAGAACAATAATTACCTTTTTTTTAAATCGTCGTTTTCTTCATACAACCGTTTTAGATCTATTTCTAATTTCGCTTTTTCCCGAGATGTATCATCTAATAGTTTTCTAGCATCCTGCAGCTCATGTTCATACATTCCCTTGATATTGGATACCTCGCGTGTGACGACCTCCTGTGTAGATTGTATCTCTCGACGCAACCCTGAATTCTCACTTTCAAGTTGACGAACTTTGTCGATATATGCCGCAAGGCGATCATTGAGATTTTGTAGAGCATCTTTTTCTTGCAAACGACTGTGTCTTGTAGGACTTAATGGGCTGCTGGGGCGACCGGCAGAGCTTGAAGGGCGGCTGCCTACAGGAGTACTAGATTGCGGTGGACTCTGCACAGATGACACAACACTTATGTTTGACGAAGAAGTAACAGTCTTTTTTGTTTTAGATGACATTATGAATTACTTTTTAAGTCACAACAAACAATATGGACACAAAAATAAATACTAAATCGCTATCTGATACAAGCGCTGGATACCGAGATCTCGAAACGAATCTAAACCAACCGAGTACGGACCCAAGCGTTATCACGTGACTATGAGTCACAAAAAATGTTGCTATATGTATAAATCAAATACAAAACTACTAACTACTCACGATTTTCCAATAAAAATATATTTGATGATTATCAAAAAAATATATCCTAAAACAATGACGTAGAGTAACTTTTATGAAATTCGAAATACAATTATCAGTAATGGAAAGAATCTACTGTTTTGATCGTATAAGTAATAACGCAGTTCGTTAGAATCTAAATCGATTTTACGACTACGTATCTAGTGGAGCACCCCTAGAGAGAATGAAAGAATGGTTGAATGGAAGGGATCGTAATTGCCTTGCGTAAACGAATGGTCGAATGAAAACTCGAAGGAAACCTAAACCTAAAACGTTAGATCTAGACAGAGTCACCAACACCAACACTAAATAGATTCAGCTATTGTCATTGACTTGGTACGTACATGTTCAAAAGTAAATAATACCGAGAAGAAAAAATATTTATCTTTGTATCGTTGGACTGAAGTGGTATGTCATGGTACAATATTTTTATTTGTGAAAATGCATTTTTCCATCCCTGACGTGCAGCAGTTTCGTGATGATAATGGGATCACTTATACGGTAAATAACATCCTCCCTACTATTAATCATATTGATAAAGATGTTTTGTTCTTCTAAAATCCTTGATATCGGATGAAACTGAAGCTGTTGTAAGAAATACCAATTAATGAAAGGAATCTTAACATAACAATGTATAATGTATATTTATTTCTGTGATAAATATTTGAACTTTTTATTATTATTTTTTAGGGCTATAATATCTACATTGATGGATTCTATCATTGCACTGCACGCTATAAGCAATTGCTCAATCTTCATGAACAATTACAGGGTCAAAATCCCTTTTTGAAACTTCCACAGTTTCCTCCTAAAAAATTATTTCTAACAAGTTCACAAATAGAGGAAAGAAGAATCTTGTTAGAAAAATTTATTCAATTAGGTAATATATACATTATATGATGAAATGTAAACTTTTTATGTTGAATGTTTTCATAACATTTAAAAGTAATATTAAAGCTTGTTGTTTCGTTGAAATTGTTTCAGTGGGACAAAATCCTGTTTTGGCATACTCTGACATTCTCACAACATTCCTCTTTTCTGCACAGCAAGAAACACACTGTGTTAGAGTGCATGAAGTGGACATAGAAATTTCTCTTATGAATGGCTATAGAATACCACTATCAGTATCCTCTACAGACTCTTCAGGAACTGTACTGGATATAGCCTGTAATTATATTAATTTACCAAAAGACTTTGTCAAATTCTTTTCTTTATATCTTTTCAATTGGAGCTGTGCAAAGGATGGCCAACCTTGCCTAAAAAAATTGGCAGAATTTGAATCTCCATATATATCTCAAAAATATGTTAGGCCTGATGATAAAATTGTATTGCGTAAAAGGTAAACCTAATAATTTTTTTATTCTTAATTAGGTATTTAATAATTTTTTTTGTTAATTTTGGCATGCACCTTTTTATAGTTACTGGGATCCATGTTATGACATTGATGTGATGACAGACCGAGTTTCATTAGATTTGTTATATTTGCAAACAATACAAGATATTGATTTAGGATGGATATCTGTAAACTCTGACATAATGGATTTATTAAAGTCTCATGAAATGAGGAAGGAAAAAAAAGAGGTAACTTTAACTTTAAATAATATTCCATTCAATTTTGTAAATGCTTTTTAAATTGTGTTTTGTTTTGAAATTTTTTGTCATCAAAATATTTATTTGTAACATTTACACCCATAATAATATGAAAAGCTTTGTAATAATGACACATAATAGAAGATATTATATAGTTATGAAATCAAACTAAATCGTAGTGGTGAATGCTTCATATGCAACACCATATGAATAATTGTTGATGATGAAACCATTTCTTTTCAGGATATTCTGAAGTTAATAATAAGTCGCACAATTAAGTGATGATGCATTGATAGTTAAACCTTTTAAAAGTCATTTCAAATATACTGCTTGCATTGATTTGCAAGCTGATTTCCATAGTGTAGGCCTTTACCATAGCCCACATTGAAATTTTGCACTTTTAATATATACTTGCAAGCCTGTGGTCCATGTCTGGTGTACTAAACTTGATGAAAGTAGTGCGCACATAACAGACATCTATGTAGTTAGTTTTAAGCAGATCATACCTTGTAGAAAGAAACTGGAATTGAATACAAAAAGAGTAAAAGTAACTTAAAAGGAACGCCTATATATTTCCCCCTGCTGAGCAAAGGTCTCCTTTGTACAGAGGGTGTTAGAGCATAGTCCACCATGCAGCCCCACTGCAGATTGGTGGACTTCATATAAATATTCGAAATGTTTTGTTAATCTTTCGAGAATATGCAGGTTTCCTTTCAATGTTTTCCTCCACTACTGAGCATGTGATAAGTCAGCACATAAAACTAACAATTGGTGCCGGCACCGGGGATTGAACTCGGGGTAAAAAAAAAATTCTAGCTTGAAAAACGAGACGTACTATTTGAAATTTTTGCGAACATGTTTTAAGCATGTATCAATCTATTTCATATCGTAAATTGAAGCAATCGGACATATTTTAAAATGAATTAAACTCACGCTTATTGTATTTTCGTCACGCGATCGACTTTATTACATACTACATTGATTACATACAAGTAGTGGCCCGCGGCTTTGTCCTCGTAGATCTGGTAAGAGAATCAATCGAAGGCTTAAACTTTATACACGTTATCAATAACTTTGATTTCTGTTAATTTAATGTTTTATTTTAATTTAAGATTACACACGGTATATGCACGGTATAAATAGCAGTTTGACCTAAAATAATATAAATATTTATTTTTAAATCACAGATAGATAATAGTTGTTTAGTGGTTTAATACATGGTAAGTTGTTATATAACGTGGTTCGGTTTTGTATTTTTAAAAGTGCTTGTAATAGGTTAGTAGCAATTTTTATATTGCAAAAGTTGCCACGAGCCTATTAAATTGAGAATTGGCGCTATATTTTGAGCAACACAAAATATAGCGCCATTGCAATAACATTGAGACGAAAATTTGTATCAAGCGGTTATATTGTGCCTTGATATCTAAACAGACGACGCGATAAGGTTTCATTTTTACCACTGAAGGAGAAATGGATGTTTGTCGTTCAATCACTTAACGACTGTATCTTATTTTAGTATACATGACCGATTCCGTAAATTACTGTACATAAAAATTTCCTCTATCGGAAAATGTATTGATCGCTTACTTTCATGTAACCCGTTTGTTCGTTATTCCCTTTTTTTCATAAAAAAAATCGTGAATTATGAACTTAATTGTAAAATATAATCAATATAATAATGTGTATAATATGTATATAAATATGTAAATATGTAAATATAAATACATATTTTCTGCCGGATTTGACGATATTCTTATCTGCCCGTTTATCGAAAAACATTAAAGGCTTCAAACATCCTTCAAATCATGCACTGATTTCCATCACAGTTATACAGGAACTATATTATGTGCTTAGCAAAAAGTTAGGGAATACTGAAGGATAAAAATTTTTATTTTCATTGAAAAGATTAATTGAATGCTTAAGGATATGCAAATTGAGGCTTATTAATTACAATTAACTTAGGTAAAATGTATTTATTGTTGTATGAGTCATTTTCACGCTAAATTACACTGGTAAATATTGGTTATTATTATGAAATATAAATATTACAGTTTAGATAGCCGCTTAGGAAAAGAACTAGCGGCATTTTTTTGTGTTATGCAAGAATCGTGCTATCCTTCTTTGTTAAATGTTTTAAAATACAATAAACATAACGATAAACTAAAATAGCATCTACGAGGTATTACCGGTTCAATTTGATTGTATAAATTTAATATTTTTCGAAAGATGAAGACTGAATGCCGCCTTAACTTGCGCTTTAGGCGTTATCGTTTAAAGTTAGTAACATCCGATACGATATTAGGACAGAATACCACTGGGGATTGGTAGACTTAACATATCTTAGAAATATTTTCACACATATTTTTTTGTTATTATTTCGAAAATATGCAGGTTTCCTCACGATGTTTCCCTTCACCGCTGAGCTATCTGACTTATGAAGTAGTCAACACTTAAAATTAACATAACTAAATTTCATTCGTGTCGGTACTGGGATTTGAATTCGGGTTTCTCGAGTATAAATAATGAATGAGCGGCGAACGCCCGTTCACTAAGCTATCACGGCTTCTTTATTACCGTCTTAGTTCCGTATATTCTAAATTAAATTGACAATGTTTAATCGTTAGAGTTTCTACGCCGACTTTTGAAAACACTTCGAGCATAATTTGCGTTTAAAGTTTTTCCATATTAATCTTTTTCGTGTTGCGACTACTGCTGGTTCTCATGTTTATTGCAAAAAGAAATGCGTTATAACAGAAATGCTTAATGTCTGCACTATAAATAAAAGTATTCTAAACCCATTGCGGGGGAAACGAGAGCGTACCGTTAGTTTGTATGGGGTCCTTGAAGCATCGAGGGTTGGAAAAAAAGGGGGCGGCCGGATGCGGAACTTGCATCAAACGACCGTTTGTGACTGAATGTTTTTAATTTGACGTCGGCTGTTATATTCATATAGCCTTCCTCCCGTGTAGACTTTTGGAGAGGCTGGTATAACTTCCCGCGTAACTCGCGTATGTCATTTACTACGCACATTAATAACGTGCGTAAAAGAGCCGCGTTCGTCTCCGGCCGGCTACACAATTTGACTAACGCTAAAAGTAAAATGCCCTTAAGGCAAAAATTATTCTTATAAAAGACCTGCGTACGACCTAGTATGTCCTACGCATGCATGACCTTCGCCCACACGCACCCTACTCGCTTGTACAAGTTGCAAATAGTACAAAATAAGTTTATCCGCCGCGCTACCGGTGCGCAGTGGTATCAACGTAAAGTCGACCTGCACAGCGATTGCAGACTCCCGACGATTCGCGAATATTTTAAAGACCTGACCAAACGGTTATTCGATAGAGCCGAACATCATCCCAACCCTCTGGTGGTAAGCGCAGCAAATTCCCAACCCGACACAAATGCCAAAGTCAACAAGCGTCGCCGCCGTCCTCATCGACCCGGTCGAGGAAGGGGACTTAGATACGTCGGACCCACCGCCGGGGGTCCCGCCGGATAACACGACACCCACAGTTAGTGCAACAACAAACATACTAGTACGTCCGAGCAGGGCGAGACCAACACAACGCGTACATAAGGTACACTCGCGTTCCGGGGCGGTTCTCACTGCTCCCAGCCACTGATTAGCTAATTGCACAGTCGACGGCCATCGGGGTTTCGGTCCGAACCGCGACCTGGATGGCCCATAGATGACACACCATACTAAAACGCACGCATGAGCACATGCGTGGCCCTACCCACAGCGGAGGGCCCAAACCCGTGGGTTCTGGCTAATCCACCGGTTCTGCGTCAGATGAAGCTTAAATTCTCGGGACTGAAAGCACAAACATCAGTTAATACAAGATACAAGAACTTCCCGCGTCGCAAGTACAGCTTCGCCGCGAATTACGCCAGTGCAAAAAAATATTTAATTGAGATACTCATCGCCTTTTCCTGGTGTTTTCCAGTTCGACCATTTTAATGAGCTTTTCTGTGCAAAGGAAAAAGTAAAATAGTCTTTTGCTCTTTACTGGCTATGCAAGTTCATAATAGTTAAAAAGTTATCCGTAATAACGGATATTAGATAGATTGTTGTGTTTTGCTAATACAATTTAGTTTAAATCGTTTATGTAATTTATTAAGGAATAGAAATAATCAAAATTTAATGAATTAACTTGAATTGTATCCTGTCATATATATCAGCAAGACAGACGAATTTTTTAACAACATAGGATCTACCTTTCACTTCCAAAATGTGTTACGATCTTTTTATGGTTATAGGCGTAATCAAAGTGGGGAATAGATGATTTAAAATGTATTCGTATATAATATAATATTTAGTTCGTAAATAATATAATATACTAATATATTCCTAATAATATTATAATGTGCAATACCTAAATAACATTATTAGTTACAATTATTAGCTTTACTATCAACTGTTTGCCACCCCTGACATTATTTTCCACGTGTCCTATTCGCGCGCATTCGTGAACAACAATTTATTATGCTATAAAATTGCTTAACCTTATTTAATGATAGCGCTCAGTAAGTCGAAGGTTAGGTCCGCAGACCGCCCACTGCTATACCGATATAACGTGCTCATGTTCTTTTACTGATGTTATGTGTTTACTATCCACAACTGCATCACCCACTCAATTATTAATTGGGATAGGAGTAAGGCATTAGCAAATAATTAAAATAAATGAACAGACATTTACTGACTACTACTAACTTTATTTTTTATAAATTGTAGAATCTGCTACTTACCTAAAGATTAATCAAGATTTATTTATATAATAGAACCACTGACTGAAATTCAAGTTTCTTTTTCTAGTTAAAAATATCATTAGGTTGTACATAATTGAACGTACATTAAGCAAATGAAGACTACGACTTCCAGTTGTGTGGTAACTTAAGTTTTTAAATATAAAATATTGGTTTATATTATAATAATAAGTATTTAATGCTTATTTATGAGTAAATGCTTATGGAATTAATTATTAAACGAAATATGTACTAATACGAACTATTCCTCTAGTTTTCGCGTACACCATAGCCTAATTATAACAAAAAGATATCAATCAATAGCAAATTTTCTACTTTTCTACTTCACTTTATTAAGTTTGCCGCTTAACGAATTGATGATTTCTGCTTTACCAAAATATTCTTTGTGCGGTACAAGGAACTTAATGGCACACTCCATTAATCCCGAGTATTAAGCTGGACAATATTGGTCCTGCGAGATTTGTGGGGTCAAACGCTGAAACGGCAAAGCATTTGTAAGCCCTAGGGGTGTTGCAGGTGTCCATGGGCGGTGGTAATCACTCACCATCAGGTGAGCCTCGTGCTCGTTTGCCCCTTATTCTCCATTAAAAAAAACACACTGGTTACACCCTGAAGGCCTCTCTCTAAGTAGTATCCGGAACACGCCAGCGAAGACTCGGTTAACCGTGTCACGTTGCTCTAGTACATAGAGTTGGCCCGCACTACGCGGCACTACGGGCGAGTGCCGGCCGGCGAGGCCGTGACGGACGCGCGCCACGTGATCGACGCGGCGGCCGAGGGCCAGTGCCGGGTTCGAGTCTCGCTCGCCTCCAAGGAGCTCACGCTGAGCAGCGTGGCGCAGCCCCCGCGCGAGCAGCGCTACAAGGTTACTAGGATGAGGTGTTGGAGGATCACCACATTGCATGCGGTAAGTGCTATCATCTGTTCGTAAGGGTGAGATAGAGGGTATAACGGCCTTCGTGTTTTTTATGAGACTTATGATGTAGTGACATCAAGGAAGTCTCATAAAAATGCTTTAATCCATTTTGCATCACTGTGCAAAATAGATTAAAGTATTTCTCGAGCATCATCTTTGGCTTCATTTTTGTTGTTGTTGCCTAGAGCATGAGTAATAAAATATTTTACTTAAAAAAATTTGTGCGACATTCTTTTATGATAAAGCTTAAAGCTTTTAAGTCAATGTACTCGAGCCAGGTGAATTAAAATCCCAGTGCAAGCACCAATGAAACTGTTAATTTTAAATGCTGAAATGTCATGTTCTCAGCGGCAAAGAAGAATATCGTGTGGAAACCGGTGCATACTTTCGATATAATAACAAAAAATATGTTTTGAAGATATGTGAAGACAAACAGTGCCAAACAGCAGTGAGGCAGATGGCAAAGGCCTCTTCTCCTCTGTACCTATGTAACCCAGCAGTAGGAGTTGTATAGGTTAAATTAAAATATGTAGAAAAAGTACGAAAAGATTGTCGCCGCTGTGAATCGAACCCACGTCTTCGGCATTCGCGGCCTGACGCTCTAGCCACTGAGCTAAACGGCTGATGTTACTTTTATTTTATTATTCATTGAAAACTTTCTCGAAACAAGTTTCACAAAACAAACGCTTGTGGGCGTTGTTTCCATTTTGCATAACTCTGTCGTGTACCACCGAACACCAAGCGCCTTTAGTGCATAGTTAGCCATGCGCCCATCATGTGGATTAGCTATGATCACATCTCTTTGAAATATTTTTTCTGATGTTTCCAAGACGTTGAGATCTCCTCGTCCACCGCTGAACATAACTTACTAAAAATTGGTTTCTTTTTAAAATAATGAAGACTTTCAGTTTAAAGTTTAAACGCCTCGATGGGTATAAGTGGTCCTTGAATTGCGTATATAAATTTTATATTAATGTTAGTACTCAAATACGAACATAGTATGCAATAAGTTTCGTTTATAAACACTGTAAAAGTAGCAAATAGCAGACACGAATAATGTTATCAAACGGATAATGGAAGCTCAAAACTACGGACAGGCTCGTCTTTCTTCATAACAATGTAATAAGAACTGTCTACATCCTAAGTGTCACGTTTTGTTACAAGTGGGTGGCGAAAGAAATTAATGCGTTAAGATACTATATGAGGCTCTGGAGTATAACTAAAAAGAGGTTTAAATCATTCATGACAATTGCATTGATGGTCAATTCAATTTTACAACAAAACACACAATAAACAAATAAAACGCACAAATGTCACAATCATGTCTCTGGAACTCCATCTGCGCAAATGTTAAGCTTTAATGCCACGGGCAGTGGGTTCGATTGGTGAACTATAATCTTGCTACAGTACTTGTGAATGCCTTTTATTTGTTGTAATAAATCTATGTATTAATACGTGAAGCCAAAACTTTGTACCCCTTTTTACGAACATTGATCATTTCAATTTCATTTCACTTCTTTTTATGATCATTTGTAAATTGCGCAGATGGAGGAGTATGCAATTTCCCACACTTATAGTTTTATATAGAGAAGGAGTGCAGAGTGCTAATATTTTTTTTTAATTATGCATAAAAATACATTAAATAAATATAGAAAACATTACACACACTACCATTAGGTTAGAATCTCAAGAATTCAGTTTGAATCGAGCCACAGATACGTTGTCCTGTCGAAACTCAGAGGAGCCTCCTAAACGAATAACAATGGACGTCTTGCTGTTTAATACAAATACAGCAATTGGTTCGAGTGGTCCCCTTCCGGCACTTTTCATTTTGCGGTCTGTGAACTCTTTTTATCAATAAAGCAGCCCGCCGCGAGCAATTAGCAGATAACCGAGTCGCACTTCGAACACACACACACACACACACATACGAACGTCGGCCCGATTTGATGAATTTCTTTATTTTGTATGACGAACTTAACAATGAATAAGCTATTCATTAGGGAATAAACACAACTGCTAAGAGATAAGCAATGTTTAAACTTAACTTTTCATTGATAGTCAATTGACTCGACTTTAATGTTGAAAGTGGTACTGTAAGTTTGTTTTTTAAAGTGAAATTGGATAATTTATTTATAATATAATGTGTAAATTATGTCATCTTTGGTTTTGTTTTAAATGTACTTACATCTTTTTGAAAATGATACAAGTTTAGGGTGAGTTATATTGTTATATTTTATGAGCTACTTGCCTTATCCACTCGTCACTACTTTATTTCAAAAATATAGATTAAAAAAATAACTGTTTTAGTCTTTACATAAAGGACAAGGAAAAAAGAAAAAGATGTTTTTTGGGTCAAGAACTTTCTGGACTTTAGAAACATCATTCCAAGATACAACACAATCTGAATGGTTTGCAAATGAACATAGGACAAATATAAATAGAAACATTCACATTTAATTTATATGAAGTGGCCATTTAGCCTATGTTTTAATTTCTCTCCTAGTTTTTTTAAACGTGCAGTTTTTTCTCCACCTCTATGAATAAGCAATATAGTTCCATTTCATATCAAATTAAAATACCATTTGTCGAGTTTTTGTTCGCGTTTTTCGGATATCAGTTTAAATTTTCGCGGTCATAATTTAAAGGTCACGATGTTTCTATTAAAACTTGCAATTTTAAATATTGATTGCATTATTTTAATAACCGATGCCATTTCTTATATTAGCAACGATGATCACGTACTCATATCGAATATAGCTTGATGAAATCAAGTTATATAAAGACGAAACATATGGCATACTCTATGTACTTGTAATCATGTCCTATCGTATGCGCATAGCGTATGGACATGCGGTCGCAACCACCTTAAGAAACCACAATACGGTCAATGAATCGTTAGCGGTAACAATCTGTTATCCTTCAGTAGAGCTCAATTCACTGTGGTGCGTCGGGTAAGTTAAATTTTTATGGCTTGTATTACATATTTTAACGGCCGGGTAAGTACCACGACCACACGGAATTTCGGTGTAAAGTGGAAGTATGACAAATACTTTAGCGAGTCGTCTGGTGAGTGAGGTAGCCGGATCCCAATCGTTAGATTTGGTTACGGGTGACTTAGACGAATTTTGACATAAGTACTATGGAGCTAATGTCAAATACCTAACTCTAGTAGGTAACCAAATCTACAGATAGAATATTGAAACCGGTCGTTAGTAATTAGCATCTGACGTAATCTGGGATAACAATAGGTATTTGTGAATGAAGTTAGCTTTTGTCCCGACCTCAATATAGTCCCCAATTAATAGGGTATTGCAATGTGTTTTCCCTTTTGTCAGATAACCTACTTTTTTATTTGAGAAAGTGGCAAACGATCTGGCGGTTCACCTGATATTAAGTGATGACCGTCCATGGACATTTGCAACACCCGTAGGGTTGCAGATGCGTTGCCACCTTTTAAAAAAGTGGGCCCCGGCTACCGCACTCACCAGACGAAACGCAGAATTGTAACACCTCTACTTCCGGCCGGTCTTCTGTGAGGTCGTGGTACTAACCCGGACGGACCTGCTCATTCGTGCAGCAGCGAATACTTTTGCGTGGTCCTACCACAGTTATAAAAGAACTATATATGTCTCATTTGTATCCGGCACACACGTTTAAGCATAAACGAATTGGCACGTTTGAGACCTAATAGGCTCGGTTAGATCATTATTGTCAATCACGCTCTACAGTTGCTGGCACATTGAATATCACTTCACGCAGTCTTCGCATGTCGTACAAGGCGACTAACAGGAAGATTTTGACTTCGGTTGTAATCAGGGCGAGGGTCATGAATGCCTAATGAAGAGATCTTAGGAATGAGGGTAACACAATTTTGTCCCGTGATGCCAAATCTGTAGGCGGGTACTGGTATGACGTCACCTTTACCACCTTTGATCCCTCCAGCCCGAAAGATGCACCGGTCGTTCCACTGGATATCACAGAGCCCTTGTGTTTTGTGTTGCCACATTATGTGTTGCCTCTTAGGGGCATTTAATGAGTAAAACTCACATAACTCTGTCTTTCTTAGGAGACCGGGTATGTTTTAAGATATCCTGTCTGTTTGCTAGGACTAAGTGCCTATATTGTATTACCTGAGGAAGCAACTAGAAATGGATAGTGCCTTTATTCTTTAAATAATTTAATACAATATGTCGCATATTTTTTTTATAGAAAAAAAGGGGCAACGAGCAGGAGGCCCGCATGATGGTAATTGATCGCCGCCGCCCATGGACACCTGCAACACCAGAGGACTTAGGAATGCGTTGCCGGACTTTTAGCAAAGAGTATGCTCTCTACTTGAAGGTTCCCAGGTCGTAACGGTTCGGAAAGACCGCCGGCGGCGGCTTGTTCCACATAGTGGCTGTGCAGGAAATCGCTTTTAAGTCCGTTTAATTTTTTCCAGATGGAAAGACTACAGACTAACGGACACGGATCTCTGTTGGAAGAGTCCAACAAGCACTTCGAGCTCTCCTTTGAATACCTGATCAGCAAGGACCACTTGGAGTGGATAACACTGAGGACGGAACACGCGATATTCATAAGCGTCTGTTTGCAGGTAAATTATATCATGGTATTATGAATGACCTAAAAAGTGTTTATGTATTATATTGAATAGAGAAACTGTTCGCCTTATAAAGCATTTGTCGGAAGACGCAATAAATTATCTTTTACCTGGTTTAAAACTATTTAGTGACTTATGAATCTATAACATATTTTTTATGTTTTTTTATCTCATTCCTTCCTGCGAATAGCTTTATTTTCACAACTACGTATTGAATATACATGTATAGTAGGTAATAACAAAGTATTTACATAACAGTTATAGCTATAACATAAATACCTTGTTATTACAATCTTAAGGCAACTCATATTTTTCACCAAGGGCTACGAGTTTATTTTCATTGTAATATGTATCTTCTAATATACCTTATATTAGAAGATACATAAAAAACTCGCAGAAGACGTTCGATGGCTTCATAATCTAATTAAATAACCAACGATTAATGCACGCTTTAAAAAAAATCACGCTGAAAATGTCTAATAAAATTGAACGTTGTACAAAAATTAGCAAGAATATAAATATCTGCAATAAAGGTCTAAATGATTTATTTATGGGCATTTTACGATAGTACAGTAATAATACATAAAAGCACTGATTGTGGCTCACAAGTTGGATTACCACACGCGTCATGAAAAACCCCCAACTATACGCTTGAATAATTCTTTGCAAAAAATTTTTTTCCAGTACTGGCGTACATTGTACTGATGTTGCGAGGAAAGTCGCGTGTTCCATCAAATTAATTTTGAATATAACACCTGCTGATAACGAACTGATACAAACGACCAGACACTAGTCCATTTTTTGTTAAAAACGTATCGCATAGCAATGTGTGCGGGAGTTTCAAATGTCGCGAGTTCATGTGTGCGTGTTTTGTACGTCATTACTATACATACACTATGAGTTGATCGTTAACGTTAACGCAACCGCTAAGCTTGCGTCTTCGAGCACTAGATTAATATTTGTATGACGAACGGACTGCCGGATCTGGTTTTTTTTTCGTTTAAAGTTGGTAAATGAGTAGGCCTTTCACCTGATGCTAAGTGATTACCGCCACCCACGGACATACACAGCACCGGGTTGCAGATGCGTCAGCAACCTTCAAAAAATAAGCACTCCACTTACCTCACTCACTTCTTCTAGTACTTCTCGTATAGTAATTCCAGTTCAAGCTGGTCTTCTATGAGGCCGTGCGCTACGCTACTTACCGGTACGATTTATTTCTACGTATTTATCTAAACAGGATATGATCGACGAGGAAAGTCTCGTAATGAAAACAAAATGCGAAAATTGAGCTTTCTTTATTAACGACTACGCTCTATCTATTCTTTCTTCTACCTTTAACCCTCCGAAATAAACTCCCAGATTCGGAACAATTTTCTGCGGTTCACACAAGTCGTTCCTGCTTGGAAATCGAACTTACCAACTAGGCTCAATCTTTTAAAATAATTTTCATTGTAAATTCCATTATTCATCGTTTTACGCTTTTATAATTTGTATACTTTTATATTTATCTAAATGTGGAAACTTCTAATTGGCCTTATGTACCTATTTGTTTTCTAATGCTTTAATTATGCGCCAGCTGTTAGTTTCGCCAAAATTGTGATAGAAAAAAATCTGTCATTTGTATATGTTGTCTGTGGCACCGTAGTCGATAGTCGACGAGCTGATGCGCCAGAAAAGCGGCTCGGGGCCGGCGTCGCCCCGCTACAAGCGCGGCGGGCTCACCTATTTGCGACGCGACGGCTCCAGCCAGCTCATCACCTCTTCCTCCTCCAGCGACACGCTCAGCTCGGTCGTGAGTGCCCTCCCCCCGATATTGTGTTCACGATTAGAATTGACGGAATGACCGGACAGATATTACACTCCTAATCAAAAATTATCCAACGTCGTATTCAATATTATTACCATGACCTGTCATAAGATCATAATAAAAGGCCTGTGGGATTGAAAATCATTCGATGAAACATATAGTCGTAAAGATTCAACAGTGGTTCTCTGTCTGTAAAAGTAAAGTAAAGAAACAGCCTCTAAATGTCACATTAAGCAAAGGCCAGCTTTATATAAAGGGTATTTTGTCAACTGCCTGTTGGCGGAGTTTACACATCTACGAAATATTTTTTGTAATTCTTATTTCGTAGGTTTCTTCACGATGTTTTCTTTCAATGCTGAACATTTGATAAATCAGTACTTAAATTTAACAACTGCTGTTTGTACTAGGGAAAAATATTCCGTGGATGTAGGTCTATGTACTTTTGTGTATGTATAATAATAATTTAACATCTAAAACACAGAATGACCTTTTCTGTAGAAATACTTTATAAAAAAAATATATTAAGTATTTGATACTGAAGGAGTTATTTTTAAGTGAACAAGGTTCATGGAGCTCATTTATTGTTAATAGTAGATTAATACACTGAACAAAACTTTGCAGATAATTATGTTTGAGAATTACAGGTATACACAATTTTCAATATTGTTAACAAATTTTAATGTTAAATCTTAAGTGCAGAGATAAACACTATTAAAAATTTTAATTTCAAATAATCAATGGCGACATCTCTCGTCCAAATATATTTTTACAATATAATATTTAGTGCCAGTATACAGCGTGTCTTTACAATCGCGACAATAAATGAACACACACATAGAGGATAACTTATTAAAATTGTATTAAACATTTACAGTCTTTAAACATCAATATTTACAGAGTTATTAAATTTTTCAAAACAAAGAATTTTAGAACACCCTTACGTATAAAACTGTTACGTAAAGTTCATTTGTAAAGGTCACAAAGCATATGAATGGATTGAACGAATTTAAAAGAGACAAAACATATTGTTAGAAGGAGAGGCTTGTAATGCGACCCTGTGGCAACGAATGAAAAAGTCTCTGAATGTATGTATGATTCAGACAGTTGTAGTTGTATAGGTGTTACAAATTTTGTTTGTTTTTTACTTAATTAGTTTGTTTGAAAAATATTTTTTTTAATTATGGATTTTTTTTAACGTTAATATTTTTTTATGATTATTGACAAGTAGCGTTAGACGTGTGTTCGTTTATTGTCGCGATGGTAACGACACGCTGTATACAGCATGGTGGTACAACCGCGACATTTAATGAACATACTTCTAAAACTACTTGCCAATAATCATAAAAAAATAAAAATAAAAAATAATTACATAAACTAAGTAAACAAACAAAATTGTGAATATCTTAAACAACTACAACTTACTGATTCATTAATTCAGAGAGTTTTTCATTTATTGCCACAACTTCGCATTAATAGTCTCTCCTTCTAATAGTATGTTTTATCTCTTTTAATTTCTTTCAACTTTTTCATTTGCTTTCTGACCTTTACAAATGGAATTTACATTACAGTTTTAAACACGGGTGTTCTAAAATTATTTGTTTTGGAAAATTTAATAATTCTCTAAATATTAGTGTTTAAAGAAAGTAAATTTTTACTATCCTCTATATGTGTGTTGATTTATGGTCACGGTGTAGCGCCATGTTGTATACTATTATGAAATAAATAAGAATGATTCACATAGAACTAAAAATGTTAATTTAATGTAATTAAATATAATAATAAAAGAGATACATGTTAAAGTGAAAAATACGGAATTCATTAATATTATTAGAAATATTATTATTTTTCAGAACGGTGATTCCATTACATCTGGCAGTTCCAGAGAAATATTCTCTGTTCAGAGACTAACTGAGAAATTCGCCTCAGTGGCATTCAAGAGCGGTAAAGACTGTGTGGAGAATAATGCCTTTGAAGCAATAGGCGACGAAGAATTGTAAAATGGTCCCGAGTAGAATTTTCTTATCAAATATTATTTCTAGAACTAACATTGCCAATGATCTACCGATATAGAAATATAAGAATTATGGTATATATTTGTATAACTGTTTAGTGTAGATATTTTAATTTGAATCTTTTGATTTTTGTGGTATTTTTTCTCATGCCCCTAAAAGTTTTTAATTTGGTTGAATTAAATATATATTATATGATGTGGACATGCATTTTTATAAAAATTATGACTGTTCTTATATGTCCATGGTATAAATATTAGTGTTCATAATGGGATAAATTTGAGTTAATTATACTTATATTCAAGGAGTGCAATTATACCACCTGTATACATTAAATATTCTATTGTCCCAAAAGAAAGTTTTCAAGTCTTTATTAAAGAATATAAACATATCTTTAGACCCAATCATGTTCCAGAAAGACTGTTGTTATCTACATTAAATCTATCCAAATAGTTACTTATGTATTATGTTGTGGATGTGTTAAAGTAAAAAGTTATCAAAAAGAAAAGTAAGGTAGTTCAGATCTCAGATTAAACATTCACAGGGCTATCAATATTTAGTACTAACTTTAACAGAAGCTGATTTTTAGTCCTCATTCCAAGCAATACTCTATTCTTTTAATCATGAGATTTAATTGCTTTATTTATACGGTAAGAATCACCACAGAAATGCCTAAGAATAAGTATTTAATTAAGTCCAGGAGTATTATTTAAATAAATTAAATTGACCTTAATTCTATTATCACTTTTTTATGAAAGAAGGTGGCAAACGAACTGGTATTTCACCTAATGTGATAATGGCCGCCCATTGACATTTGCAACACTCGTAGGTTTACAGATGCGTTGCCACTTTATAATAGTGGCAACGCATCTGTAAGTGGAACGAAACACAAAAGTATGAAAATTCCACTTCACGCCGGTCTTCAGTCTCCTGTGAAGTTGTGGTACTTACCCGGATGGACCTGCCCATAAAAGCCACAGCGAAGACTGTTGCGTGGCCCTACCACAGTTAAAGCTTAGTCATTCATATAATAATTCAATGTATTAGTGGGTAGTGCTTAAAAGTTAGCCTATGATGGCAATACTGGCACTTTGGATGTGTTACCATTATTGGTACTTCTGTAATTAAGAGGGAAAATAAGGCATTGGCTGTTAATTGCTGATAATAGATCTGAAACCACTTTGTCTTTGTTTTAACTTAATACACTCTTTTTTATTTGATAATATTTTCAAAAGAAAACAGGTTTAATTAAGTAGCCAAATGTTTGCCAGTTATGTGTGATAAGTTTAAAGTAATTTGTGCATCTGCGAAAATATTTAATAGGCCTAATTATTAAGTTAACTTGTTAGATGTTTGCTTGTGACAACATTAGACCAGGCTATGGGATCCTTACTGACAAGCAAAAGTTAGGATTTAAATTCGTTCATTTGGGAATCCAATCTTTAGAGTTATAATAAGTTCTTCATATTTTAACAAAGAAACGAATTTAACGCCAATTAATCAATAATTGAATCGCACTAAAAGGCATTACAACAGCCAGTTAAGATTTTCGAATAAAATATTTTGTAAATAATTTGTTATTAACAATATCTTGTAGACTTGTGTTGTATTTGAGTAGAAAGAGTTGCAAAGTGAATATTTGCTCTCTTTTCATTTTTGGAAATTTGAATTTATTACTGATATTCTTGTATATTTCTAAATTATTATACTCGTCATTTTCAGTATTTAGTTGGAAATTAATGTGGAAATAAATTGTATCATACATATAATCAAATAAAACTTTTTTGAAAACTCGAAATATCTATATCATGTGTTTTCATAAAAGAACAGTTATGTTACAATTTCATTAAATAACAACAGTAGAATTGATGTTGTTTTCATGTTTGTCAAGTCTAGATTCTACAAGTAAGACTAAACATAGCTAAAACATATTTTATTAAGCTAAGATTTCTTATACATGTAAATTTATTATTTTAAAACGTATTGTTTTATATTTATCTAGAATAAGTAACATTTTGTATAATTAAAAGTTTCAAAAGTTAGAATATATTGAATGCAAGGTTGGAGTTGTGTAAAATCTTTTATACAAATTTGTTAATTTTTTATTATATATACTTAATTCAAATTATGTGAATGGATTACAATCATTGTAAATGTTGTCAAATGTATATTTTATTTACAAATTTTGTTTCATATAAGCAGAAATCCAGAACATACGAAAAATACAATCTTCATAATGAATATACATTTACTATTAATTTATTGTAATCTCATAACAATTGATGTAGTATACTTTTGTTTAGAGTTTAAATCACTCAATTAGGGCATTGTCTAGTTTATTTTGTAACATATTTTGAGGGACCATATACAAATATAGTGTTCTGTTAATTTTTATATTTCAAATTGAGTATTGTTTTTTTTTTTCATAAATGTTTTTTAAAAACAATATTTGTTTATTTTAACTTATATTTAATTTTAAAAACAATGAAATTGGTTTGTTATGTTCAATTATAATTCACATTAATGATTTTAGAAAATGTGTGCCAACTTAAGGAAGTAGTAAATTTTTAATAAACCTCACCTTGTTTATTTTTAATTTGGATTTATAGGGGAATTATAAACAGTAATATTAATCTTATTCCTTAAATAGTCAAATGTAGTTAAAGATTTTCTTATATTGTGTTATTATTAAAGTACCACTTTGGTGCATTCAGAAAAACCACCAATACACTTCAAGCATTGCTGTGCATACTAACTGTGCAAGGGCCACAACAACAGTTCTCTGTTGCACAAATGGGCAGGTCCATCGGGAAAGTACCACCACCTCTCAGAAAAACAATGTCAATTGGAGTAATATAATTCTGCTTCGTCTGGTGAGTGAGTGAAACAGGCTATTAGAGGTAATGCATCTGCAGCCATGTGGGTGATGAAATTGTCAATTTGGAGCGGTTATCACTTAACATCAGGTTTACTGCCAGTTTGTTTGCCACCTTCTCACATAAAAATGTACACACCGTTTTGAATTGTATTTGAGAATTATATTGATAAATTGAGATGAACACGTGAAAAAAATAGAATGTGTAGCTGCCCTAGTGTAGACTAACAAAATTTTTAATGAGTTTTATACACCAAGTTAATATAATCCTAGGTGTAAATGAGATTAGAGCGCACCAAATTGTCATTTTGTTCATAAAATTGCATTGAAAATTATGTAGTCAGAAACTTGATAACACAAGAAAAAATTTGGAACCTGATAGGTTGTAACCAATTTGCTTGCCATCAACAACTAATAGTTAGTGGCATGATTGCATGTTAGATTTTTCATGTTAATACTTTTAAAGTTTTGTTAATGGTCAATTATGTCATAATTATTCTAGAAAGATAACTACTTGAATTAAAATAAGAAGTTATTTATTAGTTTATAACACAAATAATCCGAACATAAATTACTAACAAATCAGATATCTAATCTTCAATGTTTGTAACATTACCAGGTTTGAGAGGGATAGTATCTGTAAACAAATTGGATATTAACAATGCATAATTCAAATAATCTAATAAATATTTATTTCACATTTTATATAAAGCCATTAGTCTAGTAGTTCTTTTCCCATTCCTCACGTTCTTGTCTCTCTTTTTTAACTTGTTCTACTATAGGCGTTAGGTAAAGTTTGTCTTCCTCATATTTCGTCCATTCTTCTTTTGGTAAAACCGTTTTTTGAATGGACAATTGAACAGCGCGCACTATACGGAAGTTGCGTTCATCGACTACATGAGCTGGTAAACGACGTAAAGCTTCTTGTACATCTTCGGTTTCATGAAGGCAATCATCACGAAGAAGTCCTTAAAATATATTATGGTGTAATTACTAATAATCATTCGTCTGAAAAAGGAAAAGTCCAAATCTTAAATACATACCATATTTATTAAAACCTGATAAGTTATATGCCCATTTCTTCAAGCCACCTGAAAATAATTTCGAAGATTTGTTATATAATGCTTTTTAAAGAATATTAGTCCGTATGAGTAACGAAATATCGTTAATATAATAAATTTTAAGTGAAATACACTTACTGCAAACGACTGCAGTTGTTCTGAAAGCCATTTTTATTATAATTCGTAATACTAATCCGTATTATTTCTAATATAAACGCTTCTAGAAATCACAAATCACACAATGAAATTGAATGTCTTTTTCTTGTGACTTTTGCTGTCAATCAATATATCGTTTTTCTAGTTTTTTTTTATGGCACTGTCACTGAGGACCTTCAGCCAAATACATTAAATCTAAACTTACAACACCGAATAATACTTAAGTAACAAAAACTAAACGTTGCACATTATTACCGGCAAAAATTATAATTTATTTATAATTATATGAAAAAGATAACACTTTATTTTATGTACTCTTTTACTTTAAATTTACACTATCTCTCTTATGTTGATTTTTATATACAAGTCGAGGAAAGCGTTCATTAGAAAGTCTGGCATAACAGTTTAATTTACAGGCTACATTTGTGAGGTAAACTTATTAAATATAGGACAGTCAAACCTTCCATTTCAATGTCTTCTTTTTTATTAAGCGTGAAGATTTAGATCATGAGATATTCTTTACTATATGTGAAATATTTTGTAATTTAGAAATTGTTATTAATACTACTTAGGAATTCGGATCAGTAAATAAAATTATGCTGATAGCTCGAAGACCCTTATTACTCAATGATATTGTATATAAATAAGCACGAGATAGATTGCGTTAGTATATAGATGAGGCGGTCAAATTACATCAATTGGTGTAATTCTATAGACTGTTATCTCTTTCCGTATCATACGTTCTATATCTTCTGTCACGTTCACTAATCACATAAATCATATAGTGTAAAGCGGAACACCGTATCAACAATTTTTAACATGTGTCATCTATATTATTAAACATAAACATCATTGCTTGTTATCTAATTATCATTTTATTTTATTTGTGTATTTTGTACATTTAATTTTAATATTTGTCTAAGTTTAATATTATAGTGCCATATTTGGTTGTTGGTTGGACTAAAGATATTATGACATTTCTTAAAACCTGTTTGAGGTCTGCAAATGTTAACACATACCTACTATGTACAAAATTAACTCTTATTTGTATTACTTATTACATTGTTACGATTCGCAGATTTATCTTTTCTAGAGAGCCGTGATAAAACTGTACTCGTGGCTGATTCGAGCTTATCGAATTGTTTCTTTGCTTGTCTACAAGTGAACTTCGAATGCCCTCCCTCGACCTCACAGTTCCACGGCCCGCTTATCATTATCAGTGTGCATAAAATGAGACGACAGAAGGTAATTTAACTCATCAGACGTCGAAACGCGTTTGTGCACGGTTCTGTACCAATAATAAAATTTCATCACCGTATTAACTTTTTACGAACACTAACATTGGTTTTGTTTAAACGAAATAGTTGATTTTGATTAACTTGTGTCGTGATTTTTGTGTTCATCCTGCATACAAGAGAAGGAATGCCAAGTGACTGTCGCGACTGTTTGGGAATTCGTTATCGAATTAACACCCTGCATCAAACCTGGAAGTGGCTGCATCAAACCATTGCTCTTCATGAATATTTGATATCTCTTTCATCAGCTGACACTGACGCCTGTTGCCTTATGCATTAGTTAATTAGACTGTTTACAATTTCTTGTTATTTTTACTAGGTTAATATATAAAATTTAAGAAACTTACGCTTAAACCACTGCCCTTCTAAGGTTCATACAGAAAAGTACCCGTTAATTTTTTTATTTAAAATAAAAATGGCACAAACAATGTTGAGAAAGATTGGTGTGAGTGGAGTTTGCTTTTTGGTGGGAATCACAAGAAGGAGTAGCTCTCGTGGTCTGGTTATGAGTACTAGCAATGGGACTTTGAATAAGAAAGAAAGGCATTTACCTGTAGAGGAGGACATTACAAAGTCTGTATTTATGTCTCAATCTACGGATATATATACAAACTTAGCTCTTGAAGATTGGATGTACCGCAATATGGACTTTACTAATCATCATGTCATGATGGTATGGAGGAATGAGCCATGTGTTGTAATAGGAAGACACCAAAATCCATGGCAAGAAGCCAATGTTTCTCATTTGGCTGAAAAAGATATCTCCTTGGCTCGCCGTAATAGTGGTGGTGGTACAGTTTACCATGATCGTGGAAATTTAAACATAACCTTCTTCACACCACGGGAAAGATATGATAGGAAGTACAACTTAGAGCTTATAAAGAGGGCTCTATTTAGAGGATTTGGCATTAAATCTGTTATTAACAAGCGTGACGACATTGTAGTTCAAGATAATTATAAAGTATCCTTTTAAAATATAAATATATAGTAAATTTTTGGTTGTAAGTGAATGTGTTATATAACATTGTGTTTGATTTAATGTGTATTGGTTGAAAATTTTGTATGTCAATATTTAATTCTATATCACTTTGGAATATTTCCTTAACAGATATATTAGATATCTGGAACAGCTGCAAAATTAGGTCGATTAACAGCATATCATCATTGTACACTTCTAGTCAACGCCAATAAGGCAGATCTCAGTAAAGCCTTGGCAAAAAGAGAGGTAAGTTATGTAATATTTTTTTCCAAAATTATTAAATTATTGAGGAATTTTATTATAACAGTGTACAATACTTGAAGTATACAACCTTTTAAATCTTTTGGTATAATTTTTCATGTAAAATGTTTTTCCAAAATATAACGTCTTTGAAAAATTGTCATCTCCCTCAGATTCAATATTATTAATATTCCTCAGCCAAAAAAATCTTTACTTTCATATTAGGCTAGTGTTAATTTTTTTTACTAATTCAAAAACTAAAGTAGTCTAGTAGAAATAGATTGTATTATATGAAATAAAAATAATAATTAATGAATATTAAGAGTGCTTAGTCTAGAACTAAGTTTAATGAACATTAAGAGCGCTTGGTCTAACTAACAATAGTTATTTGGTTGATTATAGTATTATGCAAAATAAGGTAGATATATAAAAATATAAAATCATCCAAAAAATTATGTTTTTGTAAAAAAATTAATAATTTATTTATTTGTTAGTAGTTTAGTACTGTATATTATAGAATAGTTGGCAAGTCTATATTAATCCTAATTTTTTCCACTAAAGTAACAGCCTATACATGTCCCACTGCTGGGCAAAGGCCTCCTCTATAGAGAGGGTATTTTTCCACTACTCTACAATATAATAAGGTTATAAACACTACATTCTTTATGATTTCAGTTCCTATTTATAAAGATATAAATAATTACTATTGGCATGTATAGGTTTTTCAAAGGGCTGATTGTTTAACATAGTAATATAAAAATAATATCCTTCTTTTCTGTGTTACACCTATTTATATAACTATTAGTATTGCTTTTATTTTAATATTACATGCATGTATTTCATAAACAGATTGTTGTTATCTATTATTCTTCACTAACACTGTCTTTTGTGCTAACCCAAACCTGACCTTTTCCTTCCAATCATAAACATTTTTTAAGGATACCTAATTCTATTTAGCATGGCATACAGACAAAGGCGACAGAGTCAACTCGCTCTCCTGTGGCAAACCTGGCTGACATAGACCACAAAGTGTCCGTGGAAAGCTTGCAGACAGCCGTAGGCTATGAGTATCTGCGCACACCAGCTCTTCACATTGAAGATGGAGGACAGACTTTAATCAAAAAGCAAAGAGGTTTTCAGTTTGTGAATCCAACCAATGAATGGTTCCCAGGTAATTGATTGTTCAGATGTGCTATTGAAAAATTTGAGAAGCTTTATACAAACTAAAAGAAATATTTAAAATGTGGGCGTACATGTATATATATTGTTAAATGTAAAAATTATATAACAATACTTACATGCACTTTAATACATATACATAAAATCTATGTTCACTAAAAAAATTTATAATGTTTATTTGCCACACCAACATGCAGTGAGAGCAAGATGAAAATCAAATGTAATTGCGGCACAAATGATAAGTGACGCCTAATATAGCTCTTAAAAATATCAATAAACTATCGACTGTGTAATAACTTGTCTAACTTCAGAATAGCATTTATGTTTTGAACATGTTATAATAATTAAGTATTTTTTTAATAATGAAATAAATCTTCAACAGGTCTCTCTGGCTTAAGGAATGAGTTGGAGAGTTGGGACTGGTGTTTTGGCAGAACACCAGTTTTCACTGTTAGCCGCACATTCCCTGTTCCTGCTGAATTGCTTGCGCCATCAAGAGTTTACAGAGCCTCTGAGGAGTTAGTTATTAATATGACTGTGGAGAAAGGGTTAATTAGTGATGTTACATTAAATATTCCTCCAGGATTAGTTGAATCTGGTTTTCATGGTGAAGCATCAGTTATTACCCATCTTAAAGGGAAGAGATTTACCTCTGAGGCACTCAGTGCACTGCAGGATGCAATGCTCACTCGCCATTTGAGCAATGACATTAAGAAGTTGGATGAAAAAGAACAATTTGTTGCAAAATGCTTTGATCAAGTGGTTAACACCATCTAGAAATAATAATGTAATCAAGTTGGTGCTATTTTTGTAAATTTATTTAGGACTATAGGATGACTAATTTTTCTATATGATGTACATCAGAGGTGCTGCTTAGTATATCAAATATTTTTCAGCTTAAGGGTTTATTATAAGAAATGCTCTATGTATTAAGGTTAGTAATTGTACACCTTAATGTTAAACTTGTATGCCACATAAGTGTCGCTTTCACAATTTACTTATTTTTCTATCTGGTGATAAAAAAAAGTTCTCTTATTTCCTGTTTCTTGTAAATATTTATAAGACTTATTACCTGCTTTTTTAATTTAGGTAGCAATTATTAAAGTTTAGGAAGTATTACTTTTACTGTTTTTTTTAATTATGTCTAAATCATGTCTTGTTATACTTATGAAACCACACAGTTTTTATTATTATTTGAATTAATACATATGTTAAACATAAACAAAATTATATCAATTTTTTTTATTATCTTACCACTTCAAATTTAAATTGCATTAGAAGTAATACTTTTTAACTTAGCACCTATTTTTTAATTCGCGATTCGCACTTTGTGCACAATGTTACAAGAATGCATCATATCATTTGTTTTATGTTTAATTAATTTAGAATTTGTTTACTGGATTAATATGCCCATTTAATGTTTTATTTTACCGAACCGTCATAGTTTAGCTTATATTAACATTCAATACTTTATTATGTAGAATTATTTTATATAGTAACCTGAAAGCCATTTAAAAAAACGTAGCTTTTTTTAAGATTTGCCCAAAATGGGTACTTTTTTGTATGAAATGGATGTATTTAGTATGTAATTACTTGTAATTTTAAGGCTTTATCAATTATAACTCTTATTACAATTCACTTATTAATTGTATCTTGCCTTTTCTAAGAAACTAGGATAATTGTATTATCTCTTTTACACTACCTAATACATTTATATTGTATTGTGAAGTCTCAGCTGAAGCAATTATTTCATTGATATTGCAAGTATTGAAATAAATTTTATTCAATTGTAAAACGTTATTTCATTTAATCACGAGCCGTTTCTTTCTTATAAAATTTTATCATTATGATCTATGTATCGATCATATCTTATTTTCGCGTATACAAGGCCAAAGTCCCATGAGGGCTGAAACTTAAATATGTGTACCTGTGTGTGTGTCATTTGAAGTCTAAAAGGAAAGGCATACTTAAGTGTATGTATCATTAAATTCGCATATATTAGTAAGTGCTTTTGATGTTATAATAAGAAGATAAATTTGACTAATTACCGTATAGACTTCGCACGCGTACCCTTATACCGGATTAACGAAAACGCGTACGCGTCCTCGCACAACAAAACAGGCTTGAGCCTGCTCTTCCTCTCGCTTTCCGAAGACTCGCAGTGGTGGTCGATGGCCGCTCGAGCGCAGCCAGTCCGCGTTCGTACACAGTGGCGCGCGCGCACCGAGCGCCGTTTTTGAATTGCACGCGTTGCCATGACGACGAGTATACACCCTTAAAACTTTTATTCAAGGTCGCAAAGCTTTTGTGACTCGAGATAAAGTTGTGCCGTGTAAGACTTATAATTTCCTAGTTGAGTTACAAGTAAGTAAAAAAATTAAAATTATTACAACATGTAATAAATTAATAAGTTTGCAAAACGGTGGAAAAGCTGGATGATGATTATTGTATACGATAATGATGTATTTTTGGTGTGGTGATTAAAAACTTTGGAAGTGACACACAGTTGTTTCTGCTGTTCCACTAATCGTCAGACTCGTCCGGGTAAATATGCCGATGATAATGCATCTATCTGCCACCCCAAATAAGTTGTAAATGTCCATGGGTGCGTTAATCATCAACATAAGAAGAATCGCCAGCTCGCTTGCTAACTTCTCTGTGTAAGAAATATACTCAATTTATTTGCTTCACAATTATTATAGCTCAAAGTAAAAAGGCGTTTTCAATTCTATTATTTAAATTCAAAAATTGCACCGCCAAAACTACTATGTGCCAGCTGAAACCTGAAAGCTCAGTCGGAAAAGCTTAGTCTGTTTTTAGTATTGCGTATTACCTAAATATAACATGAAAACGGCTTCGTACAATATTACTATATTAAGCAGAAATAAACATAGGCTAAACTTATGTTGAAGCATATAATATTATGTACATTACTCTTATGCTTGCATAGTAGGTAAAACTAAGGAATTTCGTAGAGGTTCTAATATTGGAGAATAATTGAAATTGAAATTTGTTACTAAGTTAGCCAATATCTTGACAACTGCGCCACGGAGTACTATATTTTTTTTGTCTGCAATTGCAGTCTTATTTACGGTGCGTGCTCTATAAAGTGTATCTTACTTTTTTATTCTATGTAGCCCTAATTTTGGCATCAGCATTAATCCATTATATCTCTGTGTGACTGACAGTATGACGATGCCATAAATATTATCTGACGGATATAATTCAAGAGTATGTACAAGTACATCGACGAGTGACGGCACAAACTTGTATATTACGTTGGTTTATCCCTTGAAAGACAGGCTTACCGTTTTACTGTTACAAAGAAACCCTTTATACACTCTTATATCAGGTGCTTCAATTATACTGCATCTAACGTAGAGTTCAAAACGTAAACAACCAAGTTCTCTCTGACCGCCTTGATCTTTTGGCTTTACTAAGAAATGTAACGTCTAGTTGCATTTTTATTGCGTTTACAACGGGAAGTACTTTTAAGAATAGATTGGATTTATACATAAAAAGTAAAGTAAAGTATCAGCCTATACATGTCCCACTGCTGGGCAAAGGCCTCCTCTATACAGAGGGTATCAGCATTGTCCACCACGCGGCCCCACTGCGGATTGGTGGACTTCACATATCTTCGAAAATATTTTTTTTTGTTATTATTTCGAAAATATGCAGGTTTCCTCACGATGTTTTCCTTCACCGCTGAGCACGTGATAATTCAGCACTTAAAATTGACAATTTCATTGGTGCCGGCACCGGGGATTGAACTCAGGTTGCTCGAGTATATTGAATTAAAAGCGAGCGCCCGGACACTGAGCTATCACGGCTCTATTTCATACGGATTTATACATGCTGCTGAATTTATCAAGCTCCTTCAATTTGAAGACCAAGTTCCCTTCGAACAAGTTCATTGAACCCAAAAAGTTCGAGATGTTTTATTTTAACGCATTCGACAGAAGATTATGCAAAATGCTAAAATAACATCGATGTGATCTTGATTGTGTTCATCTAAGTCTATCCACCACTGTGGGCGTCTCACGAAAGTTTCTGCCGTGCATTAATTCAATGTGGATCCTTTAGTTGTCGTGGGGTATTTACTGGTCATTACGACTTAGGGAACGTAAACATAGTTTCATTTAGTAAGAAAGTTTGGCCATGATCGGTTATGATAACTCACCATCAGATTTTTGCCATACCTTTCCACCTATCGCTTATAAGTATGGAAATAAAATCATGTAATTTTCAGTCCAATGACTAACGCACCATAAGACACATTTCGCTATAGGCAAACATATGAAATGCTGTGGAAGGTTATGCTTTGGTGGCGTGCTAATGCAATAGTTACGAGACGTTGCTTCACCGGTTCACACTGCGCGCACGAATCTGCCGAAGAATTGAGCGGACGTTCGATTTCTAAGCGGAACGAATCGTTTTACCTATCTACGAGAGTATCTAACATCGTATTGTATACAAGTGTTCAATTCAATCGGTCCAAATGAGTAAATCTCCGACTAAAAATTCTTACATTCAAATTAGCACTATAAAAAATTTAATCTAATAATCTCTTTCAAAAAAGAGAATATAAGAATATTCTCTTTTTTGAAAGAGATTATTACAAAAACGGTAAAATTATTGCAATACTTATTTATTTCATTACCACCTAGATTTCTTGATTACCTGGCTATTATACTGAATCACAACATATTTGATCTTTGATCACATTGGATTGGTTAAAAATAAAAGGAGAGTCGTTCTTCCTATACTTTCCTGATTAAGTATTTCTACTAGCTAGGTTCTTCACTACTTTTATGCATGTATTTCCGTTAAATAAGAAGGAGTTTGACATTAACTGTTACTTATTATTAAGGTTGATCTTTAAGATATTGTAATAGGTACCTATATGTCGAAAGAAATTCCATGCGCCATAGTATTACACAAATCGTGATAAATGTAATGAGTAAAGTAATTAACTTTTGTAATGTGTACAATTGTAAAGATTATTATAGTTCTTTATTGCTTTAGGCGTCAGAACGCGCATCCTTGCAATCATATTAGTATCCTTCGAACAACTAATTGGTAACCTAAACTAGTTGGAATAACAGAGGATATATTTTTTATGCGAGTTTAAGGTGGCAAACTGGCGATTCACCTGATATTAAGTGATAACCGCCGCCCGTGGATATTTGCAACACCCGTGCAGATGCCACCTGGTGGGCCCCGGCCACCTCCCTCACTTCCATTTCACGCCGGCCTTCTGAGAGGTCGTGGTACTTCCCCGGATGGACCTGCCCATTCGTGCAACAGCGAACTGTTGCGTGGCTCTACAACAGTAGAAAATAGCACTGTAATAAAATGAATGAAAAAACGCTAGAAACTAGAACGAACTAGAAGAAAATTTGACGATTCATAAGAATGCGTAAGCGTCTATTTGAATAAAGATTTTTGATTGATTGAACAAACTCAAAAGGATTTGGAATTATATAGTAAACGGCACAGTCTATTAATTCTACTATAATACTATAATTAGATGGATGACCGTATAGTCAGAATGAATTTTATCTAGATGAAACAACATGTTATGGGTGATAAATATTAAATTTCTTTTAAATAGAATGAAGTAGGTAGAGCTGTTGTATTAGTGATCTGCTTAAGTATGTAGGTGTAGTTATTATTAATATACCGTAGTCAACTTTGCACCTCCCTCACACTAATTACTTATTCTTATGTAAGCCAAGGCTTTCCGTAGACTTTTTGCTTGATAATAAGATGAATATAGGTATATATATATAATCAAAATCTAATCTTCAATAGATATTAAAATATGTAGAAAAAAAAATAAAAAAAATGTTCAATCTTAAGTGAAAGGATTGGCACTATAAACAATTTAAATTTCAATAGATATGTTATATTGTGAAAACACATTCGATCAAATTGGAAACAGCTATGTCAATTAAAAGTTTACGGGTATATATTCAGAGTTACGATTTTGATTAATTTCAATAATTATGCGTGTAGGTTTTCGTTGAATCATCAACCGCGTAGGTTTTCAAGCGATAAAAATATTTTTACTCACTCCCTGTTTATAAATATTGTACAGTCTCCGATGTCTTTTGACCCTGCGTGGACAGATATAGTTAGGTGTAATGACTTTTCAACGTTCGTTTTGTTTAGTCCTAAACGCGAAAGGTGAGTGAAGTCGTCGAACATCGGTCAGATATAATAATGTAAGTATTTGTGTTTAACGTAACGCACATAATAAAAGATAAAAATTAAAAGTCCTGGCCTTCGCAGCTGGGTCCGACACTATCCGAAGCCCTAGACATCGCGATGTGAGTGAATATATACAGCGTGTCGTTACCATCGCGACAATAAATAAACCCACGTCTAACGCTACTTGCCAATAATCATAAAAAAATATTAACGTTAAACAAAATCCATAATTAAAAAAATATATTTTTCAAACAAACTAATTAAGTAAAAAAGAAACAAAATTTGTAACATCCTATACAACTCGCGCCACAGCGTCGCATTACAAGCCTCTCCTTCTAACAGTATGTTTTGTCTCTTTTAAATTCATTCAACCCATTCATATGCTTTGTGACCTTTACAAATGAACTTTACGTTACAGTTTTATATGTTCTAAAATTCTTTGTTTTAGAAAATTTAATAACTCAGTAAATATTGATGTTTAAAGAATGTAAATGTTTAATACAATTTTAAAAAGTTGTCATCTATATGTGTGTTCATTTATTGTCGCGGTGGTAACGACACGCGTATAGTGTGTATTTAATTTTTAATAAGGAATATTACTCGTATAATCTTATAAACGGTGTTAAAACCATGATGTTATAAAGTAGTGTAATATTTAGAATTTACTAGGTATTTTTCTTATTACTGTTTATTATTTATGGCATAGAAATAATAAGTGACATCAGTTGTATTTTATTTGTCCATTCGTAATAGATGATTGTTTTCCTGTTGTAAATCATAAAGGTTATGCTAGTGAAGGTGTGCTTGTTTATAAGGTGTATTTCTACAGATAGATTGTAATGTAGTATTATTATGCGGATCGCCTTTAGTGGTACAAAACATGCCGCGGTTCACTTTCACTTGTATGTTTATTAGTTTACGTGGTGGAAGAATAAGATTATTGGAATGTGATTGAAAAAAATAAGCATTAGATACTATTAATATAATTTATTGTTGTTTAAACCCATCGTGACTACCATTGTATTGAATGTAGAGAACAAA